CCAACTGCTTAGTCTGAACTTGATTTTTTTCTACGAATTTTTTGCTGAGGAAAAGGTTCGTTGCTCCACAATCTACTAGAGCATTGACAGCTGCTTTCTTGTGTTTCCCTTCCAACGTAACTGGCAAGTAGAAATGGTCTCGTTTATTCCCAGAACAAACTTCTGATACTTCTGCAAACATAATTGCCGAGTCACCGAGAATGGAAAAACGATTTTTTTGATCTAAGTCCGCAGTTGACTTCGATCTCCCTAAAAACCCTTCTGCTCCTCTTTCTTCGCTGGGTTGTACATACTGGAGAGGCAAATCCTCTCGTTGATGATGTGGTTAATATCTTCCAGGGTGAGTGCTTTCACCGCTGGAACTTCTTCATCAGGAAAAACTATATCTCTATATAGAGGACCATCCTCTATATAGCCCCGATAGCACACCACAGCTCTATACAGTCTATGGCAAGCTATCACAGCACTATAGACCAGTATAGACATCATGAAAGTCTATATATTACCATAAAGTTTGGTAAGTGTATTTAGAAGTAAAACATTTCAACAACTATAGACCCCAGTAGACCGTGGGAACTTTTTTCGATGAAAACCAAAGTCGTAGTCCTTGTCTAGGGAAGTCTATCCATAGTCTTATGACTTCAATAGGTTAAGATCCTAGTGAGTTATAAGGAAAATACTCGAAATTGAAGGGTTCAAGAAAGCAACTTGACCATGGGAACTTTTTTCGATTAAATCAAAGTTGTAGTCCTTGTCAAGGGAAGTCTATCCATAGTCTAATGACTTCAATAGGTCAAGATCTTAGTGAGTTATAAGGAAAATACTTGGAATTGAAGGGTTCAAAAGTGTTAAGGTACACCTTATTTATGTAAGCAAAAATGCGAAAATTCACCTTATGTGTATTCAAAATCCTAATGCTAACAGTCAATTTCATTGTCTTTTTCTTACTGTCATAATCCTAGTCCTATTAACCAAAAACTCGAAAATTCACCAAGTCTTGTGTTGTGGCTTTGTTTGGCACTGCTTATGTAAGCAAAAATGCGGTCAACCAACAAGTCTTTTCCCATTCTTTCCTTCCCCCCCACTGCCCCCTCATTAGATTATCTTCCATATTTTTCTTACAATTTTCGAGTTTTTGCCTCTCTTCTCTTCTTCTTGCTTCTCTATCCTTCTCTTGGTGTTGATGTTGTTGGTGCTGGTACTGGTGCTGGTGCTTTGAACTCTGCTAAGTCTCCCTCCATAATTTTCGCATTTTTGACTATTTGACTAATCTTTTTTCTAACCCTCTCCTTCTAGCTCTCTTCCCTCCTGCTCCTCCTCCCCCCAACTATTTTCGCATTTTTGACCATTTGGCAAGTCTTTTCTCTGACTCTCACTTCCTCCTGTCTGATCCTCTCCTTCTAGCTCCCTTCCCTCCTCTTCCCTCAAGAATTTTCGCAATTTTCACTATTTGGTAAGTCTTTCTTTTTTTTGTATTCATCTTTCCTCTCTGATTCTTCCTTCTAGTTCTCTTGCCTCTTCCTCCTGTAATTTTCGCATTTTTGCCTGTTTTGTAGTTATTAGTTTACATGTATTGTAGTAGTTGAAATATAATTTGGAATTTTCGCTTTTTTTTAATTTTGAGAACACTATCATGGCAACAAACAGCTATTAAGAGAAATTTTTGCTTTGTGTTTTGAGCTATAATAGCTACAATAGTTGTGGTATGTTCCACCCAGCTATAGCAACTTTAATAGAGCTATATAGCACTATACACTGGTGTAGTAAGCCTGCACAATTGGGCACTTGGCTATACGAGCTATAGGGCTATGGAGTCTGTATAGCAGTCTATAGCGCTATGGGTGGCTATATAGCCTTACCACATTTTCCTGATGTTCCACCTTGCCGGCGCGGACAGCTGGTCCTTTGCCCTTGGTATCGAGTGGCTTTCCTGTGCAATTATGGGCCATATGCCCTTCTTCTCCGCAGCGATAGCATTTAAATGGCTGCCCCTGCGCGTGGGGTCTGCCTCCTGCTCTAGTTGCGTCAATGTCCATGGCATTTCCTCCCTGTGACGTGGTCTTGGGTGCTCCAGCTGGTGCGGGTGGAGCAGCGGGGCCTCGCCAAGGTTGTCGCTGAGAGAAGCTCATCTTCCTCTCGTCATCAAGCTCTTCGAGGTTCTGCCCGACTAAGAGCGCCTCCCTGATCAATCCCTCCAGGGTGTCTTTCCTGTTGGGGTGGATGTTAGCCAAGTAGTTTTTGACCCGTTGGTCTAAACCATGGTGGAGTTTGCGCATTAGTTCGTAGTCGGAGAATTGACAGAAGGCGAGCTTCTGACGGAAAAGGGAGATATATTCTCCGACGGTATGATTGCCTTGTCGGAGAGATTCCAACTCTCTTGCTGCCTTCTCTTCCTTGTTGATGACGCTCCACATGGCCTTCATGTCCTTGACAATGCTGTTATAGGACCTGGGCTGACCACTGAGCGCCATAGGGGTGATACTCTCTGCCCACTTGGCTGCGGCTCCTCGGCAGAAGGACATGAGACATGTGCATTTCTGCTGCTCAGTTGCTCCAGGGTAACCTGTAAAGTAGATTTCGAGCTGGGTGAGGAAAGTGTCAACGTCAATGGAGTTTTTATCTCCTGTGAAGTCCACGGGTTTCGCCATCTTCAAATCAGAGCCTGAAGTCCCAGATATAGTGCCTGGGATCTTCGTTGTAGGCGAGGTCTCCAAAAGCGTGACCCTGTCTTCTGCGTCCCTCAAGGAGTTCTCCAGATCCCTCACCCTGTTCTTCAGGAAGTCGATCTCGTCGTCCGCATGCACCAGGCCTGCTTGCAGTTCGTCGACCTCCTTCTGCAGACGGGTTATGAACTGCCTGGTGTACTCTCTTTCTGTTACGACGACGGCATTGATTGCGTGCGAAATGTCCTGATGGGTGATGATACTCGACCCGGGCCCGGAGATGCCGAAGGGTGCAGAAGGGCCTGCGGTTGGGGTGGATGATCCTGCAGGTGCTAATGGGCCTAACAGGTTTCTCCATCCTTGCGGGGCCGGAGAGTGGATCACTCCCCTTGGTGGAGTCGCTACTCTTGGTATAGCTGGGGGAGCATCTGTCACTTCCGTATCCTCGGAAACATGCGTCCCAGGCTCTCCTAGATTCTCAGACATGGAAGAATCTGCAAGAAGAATCCGAACAGGAAATAGTGTGGAGGAGCGCTTCCCTGGCTGCGAATAGGCGGGATCTGTATGGCGGAGATGTGATAACGAAGGTGCGAATACAGCGCATGTAGCGGTTCATCAACCTAAATGAACTCGAGAGGAGTTCGCGAAGACGCGGTGAACTTCGGGTCTGCTTTCAGCACCCTAGGTTCCTATCGTAATGTATTTTAGGGTTATAAGACCCGCGAGTGCTGTTCTGTTACGTAGAAAGCAAGTAGGTAGTGTACAGTTGGCAGGGTTTTGGGCCGAACTGCAGACGTATGGAAACAGGACCTAAATGTCACTGATCCTTATCAACTGGCGGCTCATAGTAAGACGAGGGCCTGGCTGACTTCTACTAAAGACTAACATAAAGAAATTGATATAGAGAAACGCGTCGGGGAAATGATGAGTGAACACAAAATGTAATCCACGAGAATATTCTCAAGCAGAATAGCACAATGAAGTTCGTTGAGAACGGTGACGTCCAAGACAAAGTTCGAGTCGGAGTGGTAAGATAGACTTAACCTAATGTTATGACCAACGTCCAACAATAATGTTGAAGGTGAGTACACAACCACTAGGACTCGGTCAGAGATGATGATGAGTAACAGGATAGTATTGAGCGTGAATGTCTAGGTCACTACAACAGTAGGAACGAAGAGGTTAAGTCTAAGGAGCACTTACGCTAACTTCCCTACTTTTATACATAACATTAAGTAGGAGTCTGAAAGAAATCAACCAATGAGAAAAGAGTCGTATGATACTGCAGATGAGTAAGTATGACATCATGATATATAAGCAAATGAGTAAGACGGTTACTAAATAGAAACCCAAGATCCGACCGGTTCTTCTTTAGGAAGCGAGATTGTTCTAGCCTGTGGAGTAGGGGAACCAATCGGAGAAGCAACAGGTGATCTATGACAAGGAGTCACGTGACCGGCTCGGGTACTGGAAGTAGCCGAAGGAAAACCGAGAAATGAAAAATGGTTCGTATTTGGGATTCATGACAGCGAGCCCATCCAAGCCGCAACTGACCTCATCATTCATACTAACGAAAACACAATCATTCCGGGCAGGACCTCCTCACCATGAGGTTATTGCCTGAATGTGCTCGTGTCGCATGCCTCCAGTGCCGCTGAGGTCACTGGGGGCATAGAATGAGGCAGCCGCTGAACTATATATTAAAATGCGGCCCATGAAAGCTGGGGTTGTGGCCGGGTCAAACACGGCATGCTCACAGTTGGTAAGGTGAAGTTGGTTGTACAGAAACTGTTGGATCATGGTGGGAAACTCAGGGAGCCCGAGAGCGAGAGCAAGAGTAGGGACATCACATGCACCACCTAATACTATGAACATTTCGCAAAATCAGATGTGTTCGATGTAGTAATAGCAAACTTACTTGGTTTTGTGGCAAGCTCCACATGAGCTTCAACAGTTGGTCCATCAACGATGTCAGCTGCTTTGCCCTCGGTGGTCTGGTGTTGCGGTTCATTGACTCGTATTTGGATCGGAGGCTCTTGAGGCATGATGTGCACGTTGTTGTTGTTGTTGTTGTTGTTGTTGTTGTTGTTGTTGTTGTTGTTGTTGTCACTGAGAGACTGAATGACCTGTAAAAACTATGTTAATAGACTTAGATAGAAGTAATAAAAACATATGGTTTTTCAGCATTTGCAAAGTGTCAGATACACATGATCCATGGAGCATACCACAAGCCTCAAAGTCACTGCGTGCAGCAGCAATTTTGTCGAGACGCTGGTTTGTCAGTAGCATTTGACCTAGTGCTTTATACCTACTAGAGTGGCACCAGGGCTCTTTGACAGCCTTGATGTGCTTTGACTCCGTTATCGACAAGCAAAGGCCATTGGGTGCTCCGAAGAGTCATATCATTCGAGCATAGTGCTGTAAAGAGTGTTGGCGGGGAAGCGAAAAGGTGAGTCGGACTCCTGTGGTCTTGAACACTTCGCAATACTGGTGGAAACGATCAAGCGCATCTTGAAGTTGCACAAGATCGTCTTCCATAAGTGCCTCGTGCCGGACAATGTAGCAAAAGTCCAGGAAGGCACTGAATGCGTGAATGATGTCTCGGGGAACATGGCCTCTGATGGCAGGCAGATAGACCTAGTACTTGTAGCATTAGTTCATAAATTATTTCAAAAGACAGTAACATACCTTCATAAGAGCTTTTGAATCATCACCAGTCCACTGGGAAAATCCTCACCCTTCAGGAAAGCGCCGCAGACCTGCGAAAGGAGCGACTGCAGCTATCCTGTTGAAAGATTAGATATAATGTAGCAATGACAATTGAAAAACTTCACTCACCTTTGATCAATATCATCCTGAATCTCTGCTGCACGTGCTTTACCATGTGTATGCTCTAGGTATTCTCCCACCCAGTCAACAAGGTGATCCTTGAAGGTACCTTTGATGATTTGGTGTAGGAGGTCCGGCAAAAGAAGCTCATGTATATCTGCACGAGCAAAATCATTTGTAAATGGCTTGAACACAAATTAGAATCAATAACTATGAATAAATAAATAAACATACCACGACATCTCCAACAATACCGTACTCGTACCACAACTGTTTGTGCTGGAGCTCTTGAACGAGCAAGTCGGTGTGCTCTCGGCACTGGAGTAATCCATTGCCATCAAGAGCATTTTGATTATTCAAACACCTTAAACAATGTTAGTTAGAAGTCAACAACGAGACATTGAAAAGTACATACTTCAGACACCAACCCATTACAATCCCAGAGAGTAACACTTGCTCTGGATAATCAGCTATATACGGTCCTAGCCCATATATCACTCGTCGATAATGGCCGTCAGGGCAGTGAACAACGTCAGGAGTTGTCATGTTTTTCTTTAAGGACTTGAATATATTGGCGAGAGAGGAGTGAAATAATTGCCAGCGGAAGTTTTGAAAGTCAACGTCATCAGCATCTTCTTTGGTGGCTGTGACAAATGAGTGGTTGAAGCGACACAAAATATATTAACTCACTTGTTGGTATCGCGAGAAACCCTACCAATACAAGGCTGTTGCGGTGTGCGCGTCAAACACTGTTGAAGACATTTCCGATCAAGAGATATAGTGGATGGTATTCGGTGTGACCTGTAGCTACCGATACCGTAGTCTTGTCACTTCCGACAATCAGAGGCACGAAGGTTGATCCATGCATCTCTGGATCCTCGGCAATCTTATCCTGTAATGTGACGTGTCATTAGCTCAAAGAAAAGGAAAGACATATAAACTTACTGCTTGCTGCCAAGCCCAGTCACCAGAGAAAAAAAATTTGAAGCAGCGTTGATTATTGTCGTCATAGTCCCAGTACGGAGTATATTCAATCTCGCCATCAAAGTCAGGATTGGCGAGTATGTTGTGAATAAGAAGACGAGGATCACGGAACCATACTTCATATGTCGCCTTCATCCATGGTGGAACATTTTCCGCTGGCTTGACTCCTTTATACAACATTGAAAAACTCTCCCAAGCAATGTCGCCAAGCGGCGTTGAATCAATGGTGTCATACAGGTCACGGTGCGAGGAAAATGGAGGGGAATCGTTATATTGGATGAGTGTTGCTGCCCAGAGATCAAGGAGGGTATCAATCTGCCCTGCAGACATTTGATTGCGTGTGAAGAGGAATTCGGCTGTTTCAAATGCAACTCAACTCTCATATGGGGTCCAGTCAGTAGGTAATGCGTCAGTTCGAAGTGGCGGGGGCAAGTTCTGGTCAATGAAATCACCATTGATGTTGCACTTGAGTCCTGCTAGTACGTCAGATTTGAATGAGCATATAGTACAAAATTTTACCTGTGAGATGAGGATGAAATGTTCGAAATAAAGGACCCAACTGCACACAAGTGTCTGCATCTGGCATAAAACCATCTCCTGGGCCGTTCTCGTCTAGACGAAGTGCATCATCTTCGTTGTGATGCTCAGGACTTGGAGAATGCGGTGGTGCAGGAGCTGCTTGATGAAACTTCCTATGATTGCGCAAAGGCCTGGGATGCAGCATACGCATGTGTTTCGTTTGGCCCGACTTATTTTTGAAAATACGCTTGCAGCCAGGCATGAGACAAGGAAGCGCACCCATATTTTCATTGAGTTCTGCAATGAGTTGCCGACTTGAACAGTGTTACTGGACTGTGTGAACTTACTTGTTTTGGGTCAGATTGAATTGAAAGCGAAGAGACTAACCCTCACCCAAACCGTGTTTTTTCTGATCCTTAGTCTGTCATTTTCCTTCCTGTCGCTCATTTCTATCATTCATTCGTTTCCCAATGTCTCGTCCACAAACACGCCCCAGTAATGCGAACAAGCATCCCGGACAGATTGTCCAGGATGCAAACAAGGCACAGCGGCGAACCAAAGAGCAAGTTGCTGCTGAGAAATTGCAAAAACAAGTTCAGAAGGATGTTCGTGCCGAAGCCGAAAAAAAAACATGCACAGTGATTGCAGTCGTCGAAGATGCTATGGCCGTCCAGCAGAATGCTCAGATGATGGGTCCACCAAAGCTCATTCGGCCACGTCCAAAGCCTCGTGCGGTTGCCGGCAGTAAGAGTAAAACTAATCAAGAAAATTCAGTAGTCACAAGTGAGTAGTCCAGCGCTTGAATGACTCACCTACTAGGCTGATTGTTTGATGCATGTAAAGCGGCTCAATCACTGGCAGAGCCAGCTACTGAAGACGGTCAGACTGACCAACCTGTAAGGAGGAAACATCAAGGATTGAAGATGAACTTTCGTGATGGGGTCGCTGCTGATCGCAAGGTGTCTAATAGCGGAGTCACGATTGCTACGAGTCACAGTGACACACGTGTTGAAAGCATGGTTGACGATGGGAAAATCAGATTTTCGTAAGTTTCTTTTGTCCATGATGTTGATTCTAACGGAACTCACCTTGTATTATTTTGATTTCATTTGTGCATGCAACAAAAGCACGAATCAGAAGCTGGCAGGTGTCCAAGATCTTGAAGGCCTTATTCCGGATTGGGCCAAAAAAGTTGCATCTGAGGCCCAGCTAAAGCTGTCTGCGCCACCTAGCACACACTTCCAAGACACCCCAAATAGTGGAGTTTGATGCTGACCTTGATGATGATGAGTACTATGAGCCGCTGGCAACCCAGGGTGGAAAGGTTAGAGTTTACTTGAGTTTGGAATGTGTACTTACTTAAGTCAGGACTTGGTGCATTTGGTGGAGAAACCAAGAAACACCTCGAAAGGCCTCAAGCATCCACTTCCTGCCCCGAAAGAAGCCGAGTATGCCTCGCAGGAAGAATTTGAGCTTCTCGACGACTCAGAGGCTACTGGAGATGCAGAGGAGCAGTATGATGGCGATATGGAAATGGTGGATGATGATGGATGCGCAGATCAAAAAAGCTTGAAGGCTGAGGCTATTGTGACACGACATACAAGTCTGGTAAGAATTTATTTGATGAATCATGATAGAAATGCACCTGATACTCTGATAGATGTCAGTTGATATCTCGGACTCGAAGATCGCCGGCAAGCTGGTCAAGACTGAGGATACCGTCTCTGACAATCCACGCACCAAGATCAAAAAAGGTAAAGCCAAGAATTCGGACCTACCCAGCGGAGCCCTTGAACAAGGTCAATGGCGCATAAGTTTCCTTCCCTCGTTGATGTACTGGGTGGGTAATAGTGACTATGGATGGTCCATCCCAGAGAACAAGCTCGAGAGTGCCCTTGAATATATATACAATGCTGTGTACGGTAGCCGCCGAGGACCCAGCGATTTCTGTCCTGATGGCTTTGCGTTTCATTTGGTTTGCATTGTTTTACCTTTCACTCAACTTAGATACAGCTGCTCATTCAGACATCCCAGGTATGCCAAAGGATTCACGAGTGGTGTGCTGCATTTGGTTCAACTGCTGTCAGCATTTTGATGGCCTATTTTGCTTCAACGCCCGAGTACAAGACCCAGGAAGCTCATGAAGAGTATGCTGAAGATCAACTCCAGGACTGCCGTTTTGTGTACGAAGATCCTGACAATGAAGAGCAACCTGGCGCATTTTTATCAGAGTATATCTTATGCATTTTCGCCTCCCATCTCAGCGCAATATCTGGGAAAGTGAGGGTTGATGACCTGGTTGAATTCGGGAAGCCTGGGTATCTGACCGCACTTGCGCTTGCTGCCGCAGCAGTAAGTGCCCAAATTTTCCCTCTTTCACTCTCTATCTTGCGCCAGCAGAACATTAACTAGTGTATTTACAGGCTGAACGCGCTCTCATCCTGGTTCAAAGTCATTTGTTGATCAATAGCGACCCCTCCGGCAGTGGTGGCAAGAATCACAAGATCCTGCAAACACTCAACGAAGCGACAAACAAGATGAGCCATACCGGAACAGCATTCTCCTCTGGGAACTGGGAGACGGACACCTTGGCATACATGGACAGCATCAAAGATTTGCCACACTCTCGCATTCAGGATATTCTTACTCATGCCGAAGAGTACATGAAGCACCCACGTCACAATCGTCGCTCAGCAGCAGAGGATAGTTCTGGTTCCTCCCATTCAATCGCTCCTGCTAACAAGCATGCCCGCCTTCGCATCTGTAATTTTTCATTTTATTTTCTTTTCACCTGCTGATATTTGTTGAATAGAACACATCCGTTCAACATCTACCTCCAAGTCGGCGCTGGTTCAGACGACTCACTCCATATACCCTGTTTTTTTTCAGCTCATTCCCACAACTAGGTATCACATTCTACTATGGACGCAATATATACCCCCCTTCCTTAAACTCACAGATCTCCTTATTTCCCCTTATGTTTGGCTGTCTAAGACGCATTAATAGTATTCTTTTTGTGTTCCTTACGCGCCTTAAATGTCATTTGGCCTTATTATAAGGACATGGACCTACTTAATGGTCCTTATTTCAAGTGATAAAAAATGGGCTCGAAGCAGTGAAATAAGGTAAATAAGGCACTTTAAGAATGATTTAAGCACTCGGACGTTTTCCTGATGTAAGGAAGTTCATGCCAGCTAATCGGGCACCTTTGAGATTTTTTTACCAGTAAATGTGATTTATTATGCCTTGTTCACCACTCATTGCATTGTAGCTTCACGCAAGCCACCGATACGACAAGTTCCAGGCTCGTTTTAGCTAGCGTCAAGGACACAATCATTCGATGTCATTTGCAAGATTTAGTCATTTTGTAATGCCTCATGCCTCGTACATGTTATCTATCTGTATATGCCTCCATACCTAGCCTCGCATATTTATCTGGAACACGTCATCATTTCCTAGCGCGTTATCTAGCTTCCCATCAGTTACATATGTACCATGATCATTACCCTGACTGTCCACGAGAATGATGTACATGCGCCGTTTGCGTGATCCGGTTGATTTGACTGTGGTGGTAATATTGGAATTTGGCAAGACCATCGGTGATTGGAGTGCATGCATGTCGAACTGAACGGTGACCGTGCCTCGTGAGTAACACTTTAGGTTCCTGAAGCCATTCGCTTACTGCAAAGTTCCCTTGTGATCTCACTCAGGGGGCCGAAGCAACTCTTGTATAGATAGTCCTAAAGCCATCAGAAATCCTGTAAGTAGGCTTTCACTAAGAGCTGAAGTGAACTTTCAGAGGATCTCACGAGCAATCTTTGCCGTTCCCAAATCAACTTTGAACCGTTCCAGATCTCGGCGGGCTCCGCATCTATAAGTAGTCCGCGATTTGCCGTAATTGAAGGTTGAGATCTTAAGCTTGAGGCCCCAAGCGCTGACCATGTATTCCCCGACCAGTGAGGAGCAATAGACTGCAGTGGTCACACTAACTGTGTACCTAGCTAGGTGTTGCGCACCTGCAGGGCGGACAATGCACTGTTACATGTTCGGAAGATGCGTCACTCTGACTGTGGGACCTAACGTACAGTAGACAGACGAGTTCCAAATACACAAGGCAACACCTTTTGAGCTGCGATCATGCATCGCGCTGATCGCCCCCGCAGATCGGTGCACAGGAGGGCATGCTTGACGCCCTTCTTCAGTTCATCGCATCTGACGGTGTTGAATTGTACGTCCTTCTGCAAATAGACTCACGATACTTATCATACTCACTTCACGGCAGAGCCACCCGCCAAGCTTGCAGTGTTTACCTCAAGAACCGCGTATAACTACCTCCTACCTCCTTCCGCCAAATCCCCGCATATCGTAAACCCAACAGATCTGATGCCAGACATTCATCAACCGCTAGTACTAGGCACCCTCATCGTCCGGACAACTTCCAACCACTTTGATATTACCGATGAGCTCGAGGTGGTGAAGAATCAACTGCACGTCTCCACCACGATACCTTCAATACTCTTTCCAACGCATCTTCCCCTCCCACTTGGGTTGGCACTGTCATCTTGCCATTGGACAGTGCCCCGCCGACTTCTCTCGAGTTTATCGTCCTTTCCCGTGCCGATATACCCAACATGTACGATAAAGAGAGTTTTGCGTCTTACGAAGCACGCACGCTACATGTGATGGCGATTAGTGGTCAGAATGAGGGCTAGATGGACTGTGTTGGGTCGGGCATCATTCATGAAGCCGTCTGGGTTACTTCAAAGGAGAAGGAGGTATTTCTTCGTTAATTAATGTATAGTGTACCTCGGTGGTTTAAGTTCTTCGGGTTGTTGATCTACTCTACGCTTAGGACCTTAGTTTCATCATAGGGCATGCATGACCGACTAGGTGCAGATAGCTAACATATAGCAGTCTATTGATATGACAATGGTTAGTGGCAGTTCTCACTGAATTGACGTGAAGAGCGGAAGGAACGACTATTCATTCATCATTGGGGCGCTTTGGGGGGTCGGTGGTCACACTGCAACTTGGATGCTGACTCCTTCGAAGGGGCAATATGGGCGTGTCAGAAAACAGCAATGGATAGCATGCAATTACATCAAATGCTAAATCACGGGAGGAGTCACCTCACGTATCCTAAGACAACCTTGCAATATCAGCCGATATCCGGTCTTTAGGAAATCCCGTTCCTTGCCCAGAATAAGAGAGAGTGACATAGGTGCCCTTTGTCAAAAATGACGGGTTGACGACGACTGAATTGTCCACGATCTAGAGTAGGTATTGAAGAGACAATGGGGTGATATAACGGAAGCGGACTCACCTTTGAAAAATGCTTCAACCGACTGGGCAGCACCATCACGTCAGGGGCTGGATCGTCCGGACTCTCGGCGACTCTCAACTGTGCGGAATGTGATACGTCAAGGTTTACTTCATGCGCGACGTCCAAGGAAACAGGGAAGATCGGATAAAAGCTTTGCAATGGGCGTAAGGCGCTGGAAGTAGAATGGTAGCAAGAAAGCTTCACCTTCGTTGCTGCAAAACATATCTGCCGAGATTTGACATAGGGTCACTGGCAGCCTCCGGTTCGCATACAATAGAATCTACTTCTTCTCCACGCCTAAAGTATTCCTCCTTCCGAATGTGATACAAGACGTCCACGCTGCATACACCGAAAGAAATCCCATTCAGTGCAAAGCGGGCAGGATTAGGGAGGAGCCGTATCCGCTGAATACAAGAGTTAATTTCTGCGAGAGAAAAATAATAGCGCTAGTAAAACACACCGGATCACCACTAAACTCATCATCGAGCTCGCATTGAGGAAAGACTGCGTGGTCGCTGATGATGTCCTTTACGCTTGGCACGAGAAGGACGGTGCTTGTTGGTGACTGGGAAAGAAAATTGCGGAGGGGACCAATAAATTGGCGTTTGAAAATGTCTGACGGCGTCTCTTCGACCTGACCGTCCTGTATGTAGGAATGTGTAGCGTCTACGAATGGTCCGAGCTGATCGGATTGTGAGATCAAAATATTCAATTGCAGCAGGGAGTGTGCATACGAGCAAGACAACGGCGGGTTTTGATGCCTTGAGGTTACTAATGAGAGATTTCCATGGTTTGTAATCGAGGTCGGCATCTGGAGTAAATGGCCCACATGCTATGCACACGTCAAAACTTGCTGCCACGTTACTCGGTGGAGCAGGAGACGCCGGCATCGGGGGTATCTGAGCAAACCACATCTTGAATATACACAAGGAAAGAGAAGGCTCGGAAGACGCACAGCCAGAACCTCAGACGCGATGAAATACCCTCCACCACCGTTACGTCCTTTGAGCGCCACAACTGCACCAGGAAACAGGCCTATACCACCTAAACCTTTATACCCTCCCCGTATCTTGAGATCTGGTGCAAGTTGCAGAGGCACACGGAGTCCATCTCCGTGCGCTCGCGATGCCTCGAGAATCAGCGATTGATCGTTCAACTTAATGCCTGGCCCAGAAGGCTCCGCGTCCAGCACGATTCTGCCCACAACAACACAAGATTCCTGCAACGAGGTCAGCTGACAAAAACAGTTGGTAAAGCGCTCGTACCTCGGAAAAAACGCCGGGATGGCCCAGTTGACCAACGTCCTTGTAATGTTTCAAGATAAGTTCGCCAAACCCGTCGAGTTGTGTATCCAGAGCTAGACAAACGCTCAGCTGGAGCAGTATCCGAAGTTTTGGCTAGATACCCACGCACTTTCGCTCCGTTCGCCCAAAGTTTCATACATGTATCGATCTTGGGCTGGATGAGCGGGGAAGACGGGGGTAAAGAGTAATGCACAATACTCACAAGCGCGATTTTGTCTACCCTCTTTCGGACCCACAAAAGTAACCCTGCTAGAACTAGCGATCGGGCCATCAAAGTCCTGCTCAAGCTTTACATGTACACTCGCCATGCCCCCAAAGAGCGCTTTCGGCGGCTGAGCCGCAGCCTTGAGCGGCCCAGTGAGGCCATTAGCGCTAACCCCAGCAAATTTTGCAGAATTTGCTAGCTTCCCGCGCGCAAAATTGGTAGCTGCCGCTGACTTGGACACATTGCTAGCATTCTTGGCTTGGATCTCGCGCTGGATCTGGGCTTTGACGTCCGCTGCAGATTCGCGCGTAAATCGGAGGATCGACTGTGCTTTTCCGTACGAAAGAGCTTCCCATTTGTATTTGAGGGCTTCTGCTGTGAGATTGTACATCTGACATATGGATACACCTGTAGAGCGCGTTCAATGGCAGCGTTCTTTGCAGATTCAAGCGTGAAATCTTACATTCGTTTACTAGGGCTTCTGAATCCTCCTCCGATTCTGTCGCACCAAGCCATTCAACAACTTCGCTGCGTAAGGAAGACATCTTTGATCAGAGTTTGGACGGATGAGAAACGCGTGGTGGACGCGTCCAGCCACAAGCGCGACATGCGTCACAACATAACACAGCTTGTCACATAAGTCACATCACACCAACGTCACTCAAAAGTACGAATTATTAAAAGTAGCACCTGCAGAACACGAACAGATGAATGTACGATGAGCGGATCCTACTATGTAATTACTGATACAAAACAGATTCAAAACAATAGCATACCACTAATCAGGCTGGTAGTCAAGCATTGAATCCGGAGGCATGGGGTGGGGTAGCGATGATACGTAGGGAATACACGAGCGAAATGCAGCGTCTTCTCGCTCTTCGAAATCGGGTCATGGAGGCACGGAAGAAGAGGAGATAGAGAGAGCGTCTATGCATCCTCCTTGTCTCCTACATCTGCATCTTCCTTCTCTGGCTCTTCTTCCTCGGAATGGGAGAGCGAACTCTCTTTTACGGGACACGAGCTGTTCGTGGGGGATACGCTTAATCCGCCGGTATGGGCTGTCGGCGGCGACGATGCGTGTGGGATGCTATGTATAGTTGTGAGTGATTGTGCACAGTGAGAATGGAGGATGGGACGTACTTATCTGGATTGGGAATTGCAGTGCCGACTGTGTTCTGTGGTGCGACGCCTGCTTTAGAGAGTGCGTAGTCGCCTGAATCAAAATATTTGCGGTCCTGGTGTATACAATCAATTGCTGAATGGGATGAACGGTGGGGTGTATAAGCTTACCCCTTGCATCTTGTGCAAGACATTCTTGTGTGTGGGAAGTTTGCCGTACAGTCGAAAGAGCTTCTTCTCCTCCTCCGACATAGCCTGTTAAAGCCAGGATGAGTACGAGGCCTTACAAGGGGTAAGGATACGAGGCATCGATAACTCACATTGATGTCGATCTTGTTGCGCCTGGCCGGTAGCATGGCGAAGTGATGAGCAGAACGGGGCAAACGACGATGAAGGAGGAGGAGCTAGACAAGCCTTTCGAGAGCGTCGTCGAGGAGGCCCAGAGCACCGATGGATTCGAATCAAAACAAAGTTGTCGATGTGACTTGCGTTTCTAAGCCTTTCTTTACACTAAGATGTGGTGAGTAAGCGGAGTGTCTGAGTTTCAAATCAATGATTTCAATTATATCCGGCATCGGATATCGGATCTTATATGTCACAATCTTGTTTCCCAAGTCACTCTTTGTTGCGGAACATGTTACAGATCCCAGACATCCGTGAAACAGTCACTATCTTCACTACCCTGGACCACCTGACCGCTAAAGTGTGTGTCGAAAACGTATTCTTGATCCGCGGCATTGTTCTTCACCTGTAAGATGTCTTGATCAGGACCTCCGTCTGGAACTTGTGAGACAGTAAGGTGTCCAGTCTCATCTTCAGCACAAAGAAGACCCGAGCCACTCAGAACGTCGGCCAGATCAAACAGCATCTCGTCCTCGCAGCTCCATTCTTCATCTTCAAACTCAGCGTGATCATCTAGCGCGTCGAACTCCAGTTCCCCAGGTTGTTCTTGGCAGTTCCCCAGAAACGTAAGGTCTGCGCCAACACGCGTTTGATGACATGACAGGGATGGATGAAACACGGCATGGTCGAACTCGGCATCTTCCATGTTGGTATTGTCTTGCCCGTGATCAGGATCTAGGTCCAACGCGAAGCTATCGTCTTCACTTGCAGTTAGAGGGGGCCGCGTCAGAGGGGACGTAATGCTCCGTGGTTCGGATGAATCAGTCCCCAGGCCGTTGATAAGAGAATCGTCCGAATGCGTCATCCAAGCGCCCGGAAACGTGGACGCTTCTTCGGGCCAGTCCTCTAGAAGATCATCCATATCGTCTGGCACAGTCTGCTGCATATCAATAACCGAAGCGGAGATATCCATGTGAAATTCAGGGAGATTGTGCCAAGTGAGAGGGAAATCGACTTCTGTGCTGTTGGAGATGGCGCCATCCTCAAGTAGTTGATCGTCATCCCCAGCCGAGGAAGCAAATAGAGTTGAGCATGGGACCATGATCCGACTCTGAGTAACTTGCATAATTTGTCATTCTTGAATAGGAGAATGCGTACCTTGAAGCGGGTCTGGGGAACCCCCACTCGGAAGGTCTGTTCCAAGGTCTCACACAAGACGGCGTCTGGTGTGAGAGTAGAAGCATTGATGTGCTCGCCTTCATCCGAGTCTTCTGTGTCGCGGGGTGCGAAGCACAAGGAGAGGGCTGCTGCGGAAGCCTGGAGCACGGATTGATGGCGAGCTCGTGCGGTCTAGAAAGATATTTGTGGCGTGCACGAGCGCAAATAGAAAACGGACCTTTATCAGGCGCTTGCACCGCGCCACGAAATGGGGATTGGGGGACCGGCGCATGATTTCGAGAATGGATTGAGCGACGGACGGAAAGTACTCGGCCTCCATATCGAGTCTCTGATATATTGTCAGGGCTGTCAAAGAGAAAAAACGATCGGACGTACTCTGCACCACATGCCAAAGATTAGGGGATAGCGTCTGGATGATATGAGAGGGCATATATTCAACTCTGACGGCAGAGACGCACCCAACGAGCTGATTTGTGAAAAACTGTTCTGTGACACGCTTGAGGAGGAGCTCAAAGGGTAGATAGAGGTTGTGAGCGAAAGGACTGGCATCGCTGAGAAGGTTGGTGGAGTCTTGGCGATCGCCTGCGGTTTTCCAAATATAACAGAGATCCACCGCCACGAGAATAGCATGGGGTCGGGATGTATGTGATAGGGACCGGGATGGAGTCAGAGTGACTGCAGGGGAAATTGTGCGTGGTAAGATGATGCGGAGTGAACAAGACTTACTTTTAGCGTGGCCGTCGTCGTCATCGATGTATGGGTCAGATATGTTATTTAACCCTAACTGAGGTGCGTTCTAGTTTAAAAGTGATCAGCAAAAAAGAAAAAGGGTTTTGTTATACATACTACGTTAAGGTCATTACGGAGATGGTGCATCAATGCAGAGTGCACGATTGCATCCGCAGGGACCGTCTGACCATCCACAGAACCTGAAATAGAGAAGATCAAATCTGAAAGGAGAAGAACGTCCAATTCTTTTGGCAGTCTGCCCTTGACTTTGTAAACGACATCAGACGTTGATTTATGATAGAGCTTGTGTCCGATTTTTACGTTCAAAAGAAAATGTTCCGAGGCAGCACGGATTGACGAGGAGGAGGAGAAGGATGGCATTGATGTAAAAGATTAGTTAGCTAAGTCTATATATGGGTGATAGCCAAGTGATAGCAAGGAGAGCATAGCCCGAGCGTTTATCAGTAATCTGCCCACCCCACAGCCCCATCCACTGCTGTACATACTACGCCCTCTCTTACTACGACTAACAGGACCGGTCCTTGAAAGGTCATGGTGCGCCTTATTCAACTTCTTTTCTTTCAATGACAGACAAGTTCTTCACACTAGTCGACCGTCGAGCTAGACCAGAAAATACAAGATGTCTTCAAGCGCATCGAGAAGGAACGTAAATTCATCGACGCTTCTCGTTTAATCAGACAGGCAACAACAAACCCCGATGTTCTACGTCAAAACGACGCAAAGGTTCGCGAGGCAGAGCGTTCGCTTTCCTATTTCGAGGACACCCTGCGTGAACTACAGGCTCGCAAGCTGCGCGATGATCCTTTAAGATCGCCGAACCAACCGCTCTTCAAAGTAGCTCGTTCCACTGATAGAGATCGTTCACTTCCCCGAATTCCACCCTCTGATCACGATTCTACCCGTGGTGCATCTTCTAGTGCCACTCTCATTCCTGGAGATGATACAGACGGCGTTCCCAAGGGAAAGCAATACTCAAATCTCGATCTTATCAAAGCGGATACCCCCCTTACAACTCCAAAGATATCTCGTATGCTTCATCAGCTCGAGTTCAAACTGCAGGTCGAAATGCAGTACAAGAAGGGCATCGACAAGATGTCCAAACTCTATCAGGCAGACGGCGACAAGAAGTCTCGCGCAGACGCAGAGAGCAAACGCGTAGAGAGCGAGAAGAAGATTCAACTCTTACAATCTGCCCTCAAATGCTACAAGAACCTCCATATCCTCGATGACGTCGAGGAAGAAGAACAGCCAGCAGGTCAGTCCTCCTTTTCCCCCTCAATCGACATCATTTCAAATCTTATGGACTAGGTCCTGGACCCGATGGGGAGCGCAAAGATAATCTACGCGCAAAACCATTATCCGGCAAGCTCTACGTAACCGTTAAAGGAGCACGAGATCTCGAACATGCTCCAATTGTCGCCGGTTTTAGATCCCGTTCTTCCTCCAAGCAGGTCCGTGAGACCTTCGTATCCCTCAAAATCGAAGGAACACAACGCGCTCGCTCTCACCCCTCACGAACCGACCGTTGGAACGAAGACTTTGAGATCACAGTCGATAAAGCGAACGAAGTCGAGATCGCTGTTTATGATAAACAAGTATCCGAAGTGCACCCGGTACCCATCGGATTACTTTGGGTGAGAATCAGCGACCTGGTTGAAGCGCTCAGACGCCAAAAGGTTATGATGGACAGTCAGGGTGGCTGGGTGACTGCGGGTGCCATGGATGGAGACTCCCCTGTCAATCGTTCCCCTCAGCACATGGGAGGCTTCGGCGATGTGAATGCGCCACTGAATATCGATCCTGATGGGGCAGGTAACCAGCCAAGCGGCGCCACGACTTATACTAGTCAGAATGAAGGCATTGATGCGTGGTTTGCGGTGGAACCAGTTGGTGCTCTTGCTTTACATCTCAACTTTGGTAAGTGATTTCCAAGTCTGTGAGACAGGCGCTTATCCCGAGTTTCAGTTAAGGAGAACGTGCGCAAGCGCCCGCTGGATGCTCCCGGTGGGCTCGGCCGTCAGGGTGCTGTTAGGAAACGGAAGGGGGAAGTTCACGAGATGAATGGCCATAAATTCGTCCAGCGCCAATTCTACCAGCTGATGCTCTGTGCCTTCTGCAACGACTTCTTACTCAACGCTCTGGGCTATCAGTGCGAAGACTGCCGATACACCTGTCACAAGAAATGTTACGAGAAAGTCGTCACCAAGTGTATATCAAAGTCAAATTCTGGCGTACGTGCCTCCCCCTCTATCTTAATATCATCTCACTCCCACTCTAGGAGGGCGATGAAGAAAAGATCAACCACCGCATCCCCCATCGCTTTGAGCCCCTCACAAACATTGGCGCAAACTGGTGCTGCCATTGTGGCTACATGCTCCCCCTCGGCCGGAAGAACGCACGCAAGTGCTCAGAATGCGACATCACCTGCCATGCGAACTGTGCACATCTCGTGCCTGATTTCTGCGGCATGTCAATGGAGACGGCCAACCAGCTCCTCCGTGATTGGCGCGACATCAATCGTGCGCGTGGGGGCAAGGCAGCTGCGGCGACGCGGCCGCCCATAGCGCCCACCCCGCAAACCCAAACCCAAGTGCTTCCGCCTGTAGAAGTACCGCTCGCCGACAGTTTAGACCGGATGCAGCTTACGGGCGGAGAAGCGGCTCCTGTAGTTGGGACGATCGTGGATGCATATGGGCGCCGCACGCCTACACAGGACAGTGTTGATCCTCGTTATTATCAGCAGCAACCGCCGTCTAGTGTTCCTCCTCGTCCTCCCCCAGGTGCTCGGGTCCCTGTGCCCCCTGCTTACCCCAATGAACAGTTGTTGCCTCCTCCACCACCTCCACCGCCACAGGCGCCTATGGCATATGAGCAAGAAGACTACTCGGTCCCCCAGGTATGTTTCTGTAGTGGTGTTGGCAGATATGCTCACGAGGCCTCAGAAACAGCCTCCCTACCCGCAACCGGGTTTAGCTATTCAACCTCCTCCTGGGCCCCAATATGCACCGCGACCCCAGGACCCTCACTTGATCCCACCTGTTCAGGCGATTCCTCCAGCGCAACAGCGACTCTCAACTCGCAAGCGCAAAGTTGGTCTGGACGACTTCAACTTCCTTGCCGTCTTGGGTAAGGGTAACTTCGGTAAAGTCATGCTCGCGGAGGAGAAAAAGACGAACGGGTTGTATGCCATCAAAGTCCTCAAGAAGGAGTTTATCATCGATAACGATGAAGTGGAGAGGTGTGTTTGATATCGTTGGTGCGATCATGATGCTTATCAAGGACATACAGTACTCGTTCGGAAAAACGAGTATTCTTGGCTGCTGCTCGTGAACGGCATCCGTTCCTACTCGGCTTGCACTCATGTTTCCAGACTGAGACGCGCGTGTACTTTGTCATGGAGTACGTTAGTGGCGGTGATCTGATGTTGCATATCCAGCGCAAGCAGTTCTCGCTTCGCCAAGCCAAGTTTTACGCGGCGGAGGTTCTTCTTGCTTTGGAGTACTTCCACGCGAACGGGATCATCTACCGTGATCTGAAACTCGATAACATATTGCTTACCCTTGACGGACACGTCAAGGTTGCTGATTATGGGCTGTGTAAGGAGGATATGTGGTATGGCTCGACTACCAGCACGTTCTGCGGTACTCCCGAGTTCATGGCTCCCGAGGTACACGCTGCATTTCCTTGTTGTGAGTAGTAAACTGACGTTGATTCAGATTCTACTTGAGCAACGGTACGGCCGCGCCGTAGATTGGTGGGCGTTTGGTGTCTTGACGTATGAGATGCTACTCGGACAATCACCTTTCCGTGGCGACGACGAGGATGAAATTTTTGATGCGATCTTGGAGGACGAGCCTCTATATCCCATTACCATGCCTAGAGATGCTGTTTCTATCTTGCAGAAGGTCAGATGTTCTCGTGCTTTGCTTTCTATAGTTGCTGATGGTGACTTTGAAGCTGTTGACTCGGGATCCCACCCGTCGTTTGGGATCTGGGAAGGCCGACGCTGAGGAGATCAAGAGACATCCTTTCTTCAAGGATGTGAGCTTTGATGATGTCTTGAACAAACGCATTCCGCCGCCGTACTTCCCCACGATAGTAAGTTTGATGTTTAAGGATAAGGAATGATGCTGATGTATTCGCAGAACGGGAGTGCGGATACCAGCAACTTTGATGAAGAGTTTACAAAGGAGCAACCAACATTGACACCTGTTCACGGGCAATTGTCTTCGAGAGATCAACAGGAATTCAGCGGATTCTCATGGGTGAGCACGATGTCTTTCTTTGTGTTACGTCCCACCCGACTCAACGATTCGCGCAGGTCGCTTCTTGGGCAGATGTATGATCCGGACTCTATGCAGCATCGTCATCTTCTGTCTTGTCTTGTCGCAATAATACATACATTTGTTTTGTTCTCGTCACCTGTACTTGGATAGTTTTCGCAAAGTTCATGAAAGTGACCATGTAGCGTACCCCTCGAACAATTTCACTTTCCGCTTTGACTCTCGCTCTCCTTAGCGTTTGGAGTTTGTAGATACGATATGCGCGCCTGTGCCTGGTACGGTCGTTCCGAGTCTGTCCTCGAGCACTTCATCTCGTTGTCCGCGCATCAACTCGTGAAAGCTTTGCCAGAGGGAAGCGATGGTTTCGTATTCGCGGGTCATGCCTAGTACTTCTTCGAGCTTGCGATTGAGGACGTTGCTGGATGAGAGAAGATCTTCGAAGCCCTGTAGGTAGCGCGTCGGTTCTGAGGTGCAGATGCGTTGGGTGGTACTTACTGCTGTGATGTCTGCGGATAGTCTGTCGCGCTCGCGCTCGAAAAAGGAGGGTTCTGATTGGGACATCGAGGAGTGGATGAGGCTGGGATTGTCTGATTGGTGTGGAGGATGACTTGGGGAAGATCGCGTCGCGTCACGTTCTAATTTTCTTATGTCATCATGTCACACTTGAACTTGAACTTGAACATCGTATCAACGTTTGAATTTCGGATTTTTTACCAACATCTAGCTAGCAAAAATCATATTCATGTTATGAGAAGCTGGTACGTGAGCGATGATGTACTAGTGTGTTAGATCTGATGCGAGATGAAGGGTTGTACCTTGATCAAGGGTAGTCCGGCTCCCCTCGATTCTCGAACGCTTATCGATTACCAGAACTCTGCGTTTGCTGGGTGCTTATCGACATCCGCCATCGAACCTAGTGGACTTCTGAGGCACGCTGCATAATCGATGGCAGTCGATAGTTCAGAATGGTCGTGATGTCCCAGGACGTTGGCCAGACAGTCAACCCTCTTTCCGCCGCTTACTCAGAAAGGAACTTCGCATCTACATAATTGTAATGCCCCAACGGTCTTTTCAATCAGGCCCATCTGCAGGTCAGCGGTCGGTCGAGTTGGGTCGACTGGTCATCGGTCAGCTGCCAATTTTTCCCCAACACGTGTTCGAGCCCTTATCAACTTACCATGACCTTAAAAGCAAGTTCGAGCACGCCCCGTTGACATCAGCCATTTCCTCGCCGTGCTCCTTCCTCTATTCATGTCAGAACATCTTACTCGACTCCCCTAACTATTGTCCCACAGCCTACCTGGCACACGAGCACAACTTCGCGGCTGGCGAATGTCACACAATACATATCATTCTTTGTTGGTGATATAGTCATATATCATTCACCGGCGGTGAACGATAATGTTTTATATCGCCATATTCACCCCGTCAATCAGATCCATCTAACAATTCTCGTATCACATTATGGTCAGTAGAACAATTACTCTGCTTCCAATCACTAGGATCGTGGACCGTGCGGTTTCAACTGATGATTCCATCCCCGTACTGGTCTAATAAAACACTCCAGATGGAGAAGGTCGGTGGTGCGATACTGTTCCATCAACCTTCCTCCATCTTTGATCCTTTGGCGCTCGGGGTATCCATGGCCGTCCTGCGTCTGCTAAATCAGCGCGCGCACGTGTATCATTTATATGAGCCTCCTCTGTGTCAGTGAACCAGTAGCATGAGTCATTTTCAAGTGTTCTGGTTTGCCGATACATTGTGGAGATGTGGAAAATTGTCAATTTCCCCCACAGGTGAAGAATTGTGCCAAGAGCACGGTGTGTGCCCTCATTGCGACGTGTGGATTCGCTGAAGAGGATGCGAGAGCGCGGTGGCGGGCAGAGGAATGGGGATCGATGCTGCGCCTCATAGAGGACTGAACGCAAAGCAAAGGCAAAGGGTCAGGAAAAAAAATGCTTAAAAATGCCGACGGCGCACGTCAATGAAAAAGCCCGGTGGTAGTCGACGGGCGTCCTAAGGTAGGCTGGATGTTGCGTAGCATCGCTCTAGAAGGTCGACATAAAATTGTGGAGAACGTTGAGAGACACGTCACGCACATTCATTAACGACTTTCCAGCCGGGACCTGCGAATGGGAAATTATTCAAGCTGGCTTGCTCTTTAGCACAATGCGGTGAGATTGCACTCACATTAGGAATGGAAAGGAGATTTTCAAGGCCAGCTTTTTTGAGGATGGCGTGAATGTCCCAGACATACGCATTTTTGTCCTCGCAACCGGTGACTAGCAGCTTTCCATCAACGGAAAAGGCTGCACATGTTAAATCATCTTCGTGCTGGAGGGGTCGACCGATTGGGAGGTTCGTGTCAAGGTTCCATAGACATGCAGTGTCACCATCTGATACACTCGCAAGGAGGCAATCATTTCGAAACAAGGTAATGCCGATGACAGGGGACGGATGACCCTCGAGCGTGGCGATCTCCTCCCAAGTGGCTGTGTCGAGGATCCTAATTGAGCCATCCATCAATCCGGATATAAGCTTCTTTCCTTCCGACGTCCATGCCAGCCTCAAAACTTCTGAATCTTTATCGTGTTTGGGTGTGGATAATAGTGTGGCGAGCAGATCGCATGTCGTAGCATCCAGATTTTTACTGCATCCTCGTTGTATCCGCAAGTGGCAATTTTCGTTTTGTCGGGCGAGTACTTCACCGCCCACACATCCTCGTGCCCGGTTTTGATTTCCAAGATTGTTAATGTTTTTCGGCTCTTGATATCCCACACTCTTACTGTCCCGTCGGAAGATCCGCTCACGACTTGCTCACCATCTGTACTCCAGCATACCGAGTACACAATATCAGTGTGCCCCGTCCATTTGTCGATGGTCTTCCCCGTCTCGACGTCCCACAACCTCACTGATCCATCTTCACTTCCGCTTGCAACAGTCTTACCGTTTGGAGACAATGCTAGGCCCCACATTGCTGCCTTTTCCACATCATCTCTCCAGTCCTCTCGTATCTGTTCACCACCCTCTATGTCCCACAGTCGGAGTGAGTCATCGCTTGAACTCGTGATAACGCGTCGTCCGCCAGGCAGATGCACAATGCCATTTATCCACTCGATATGGTCTCTCATTGTTTGACGGGGCACAACCTCTGGCGTTTGTTGCTTCTTTCTGGGGACGGACGACATGGTCGGCACTCAGAGTCTTAACCAGATCGTGGATTATGTATGTCAGAGAAACTTGCTGAGATCTTTGAATCAGAACAGGATATCTGGCAGGGCCAAAGATTGTTGGTGAGTCGACGGGCATGTCCTCTTTCACTTCAATGAGAGGCGCGCGGGCTGCTCACGAAAATGCCTTCCTACAGGAACTTAATCCTGACCCACTATATATGGCTTCAGGAGTATTGCATGCAGGGGTTGTTCCAGCGTTATTCGAGAATTCCCTTTGCTCATATCCAACATTTCCGGTAAACGAGTCGTCAACTTTGCAACTTAGAGTATCACTTACAAGATTCTAATACCTTTCAGACCGACTCACACAGATGACACTCCAGTCACCAATGCGAAGGATGGACTTTAAGCTGAGACAGTGGGCGTTTGGTTCGGAGTCGAGAAAGTTGAGCGCACGTTCGTTCAAGTCACATTCTAAGGTTCCCATGTGTCATCCTCGTGATTTACTTCACAGGTTATTTTCTGCGTAGATGAAGCGCTCAGATCTGCAACAGGCGTTGTGTACATCTTCCTATATGTAAGAGACTATTACGACAGAGTGCTGCACTTCCTCTCCACTTCGCATTTTTCTTTCAGCCTCCTCGATGTCATCAACTCTTTGTGGATGTTTGCAAGCAGTGCGGCATGTTGTATTCCGAATCCTGATCTGGTCTGACGTGGGCCCCCTACCTCGTTGCCTTCAATATTAGTACCCTCTTTGCAACATGGTGGAACGGTGAGGTCGGTGGCGCGATGGCTGTTCCATCAACCTTCCTCATCTTCCGATACTCCAGCGCTCGAGGTACTCATGAGCCAACATTACATTTTTAGAAGGAATACTTGACCGCTTTCCCTGCTGCAATATTCCTCCAGCTTCGCGCTGGGCGTCCCCGCAAAGGAATCTCCAAACTTAATGTCTGATACGACGCATGCATAGTGACACAGATACAACAAGTCTTCCGTTTCTATATCCTACAACCATGTTCCTTGAGTGATCTATTACCATGAGTGGTGACCACCGCTGACGATAATACTGTTTCACAGTTAGCTTGACCGCTGAGGAAGGAAATGCAACGGAGACAACGCACTCGCTACCCGTGCAGAATGTCGATGCGTCAGACGCCAACCACGTCACTACACCCCGCAACTCGTCAGGGCGTCCGAGCCGACCCAGAGGGTTCATGTTAGACCACGCATCGAGCAGGTGCGGTTGCTTGTCCAGAAATGCTGCGGTCATACTACCACAGCTATTATTATCGAGTGCTGCAGTGTGATTAAATCATGAGACAAACCTGGTGTAGATATATCCTGGAGATAACGAGTTGACGCGAATCTTCTTTTCGCCGAGTTCGCAAGCCATACTACGAGCCATCTGGAGGACAGCCGCTTTAGAGCTGTTGTACGAGACCCAGGCGTGTCCCTACATGGGGTCAGCATGCCCCATGACATATCAGTTATTGGAACAGGCGCACTCTGTTGGTGATACTGCCTGACATTGATGCGATAAGGATGATGCTACCACCGCGCCCGAAGCGGGCCATCTGTCTACCAGCAGCCTGCGCAGTGAAAAGAACACCATTGGTGTTGACATCTAGGACCTGCCGGCAAATCAGGCTTAATTCCAAAACGTAGGTAGAGAGAGCCTCATTGACAACCACTCACCTCTCTGTACTCCTGCGCGGGGTATTCCAGGCAGTCCACGGGGAACCTTAGGATACCGGCCGCAGCGATGCAAAAGTCCATCCTTCCCTCCTTATCACCAATCTCCTCCGCTTTCTTCCAAAGTGTCTGTTGGTCAATGACGTTCGCGCTGAAATACTCCAGCCGCGAATTGTTCCCTAGCTTCGCAACGTAATCCCTGCATGCTACCCATTCGTTCGATGGCTTTTCTGGAAGATCGAAGCAATACACGATGCGTGCACCAGCTTCGCAACATGCAAGAGCCATCTCCAAGCCAAGGCCCCTATTTCCTCCGGAGACAAACCCGACACGATCGATCAGCACGAACTCATCGAAAATCTTGGGCTTTGGTATGATGGACGGGTCTGCAGCAGCCTCGAGAGCGGCTTCGATACCGAGTTTACCAAGAGGAGATGCAGATTGAGCTGGGAATTGAGAACTGAGGGCAAATTCAGCTTTTCCTTCCGCATCGGCAGCCACGACATTCCTCGATCGTAGACAGTTCGAAATGAAAACTTACCTGGACATAGCTTGTGCTCACTGATAATCAATGATAGATGATTGCCCAGCAACGTTAGGGGAAGCGATCATGTAAAAGGGCTTTATGAGATCATGATGACGGCCATCTACGCTATTTCAGGTTTCTGTGAGCTCACCTGATGATGGTCTAGGCCAGATGCGGTCCACTAATAGTAACGATGAAATTAATTCTTAGTAACCACGTGGGCATGAATTGGTAACTTGCGGTCTTCCCGCAGGCGGCAGGAGATAAAGAGCAAGTCTAAGGATTGCAGTTTCCGAGTTATCGATAGTAGAATTGCTGTGCACTGCCTTCTGCGACTAATATACATCGGATTCGCATGTACAGTACTTTACAAGCTAGTTTGTAACATGAAATTGACAATCTCTGCGTGCAATACCGTAAACTAGAAAGAACGAGGTGGATTGCAAGTCAATGCGACTACAGCGAGTCTATATTATGAAAGATACTCACCTTAGCATACTTATGGTCGCCTTAGTATATGGTGGAACGAAGAGACGAGCTGCGAAAATATCGATAGATTGAGTTAGGCCAAAGAGAGAAGCGCCAAGCAAGAAATACTTTACAAGCCATGATGTAGCATCAAAATGGATGTCTTCTGCACGCTGACATCAAGCTTTTGATGCGCCGACGAGCCATGGCGTAACGAGTACATTCGCACGTCTGGCGATATTGACAACGAACTAGGATGCTAACTCCATCCCGTTCTACTGGTGTGTCATACAGCTTATCTTGTAGTCCTTATCCAATTCTGCGACGATGATAAATTCGATTCGCTAATAAGAAGTGAGCTATGTAAGATCATTCAATACTGTTCCTCTAGCATCGCATACTACCTTCGTGGTTCCGATATGCCGGAAGCCATACTCTTGCGTTTGCAAGTAGATGAGACGTTTCTACAAGCGCGTAAACGACATGACCCGACTCCAGATTGTCTCAACAATCTGAATGCTCCAAAGCAAGATTACTCGCCATGGAAAACCACTGCGAGAGCGACTCGAAATAAGCCTCGGTCCACTATTGGCACGACCTAGAGACTCGCATCTGAGAAGGATACTGTGCATAACACTCGCATTTGTTGAAGGGATCCTATCAGAATGAGTGAGTCGTAGAATGGCATAAAGCTGGCCTCAAAAACTGCATCAGGCCTCCATGTTCTTTCAAAATTCTCTTTTGACAACCGACAAAAGTACAACTCCTTCAAATCAGCCATAATCCGATTCCAGATCATGTCGACTCCTGATGGAGCTGGGCTTTCTAGGAGACATAACAACTTGAACCTTTGACGTCTTTGTTAGACGATTTCTGGAATTTGGGAGAGGTATATGCACAGCCGGGCTGTGGTTTATCATTATAGGGGATGCTGAACCACCGCTTGCGGCGACTGCACAGATTTTAAAGGCCTAAACGCTTTGAATGACGAACCGCGGGATGGAGATTGGAATAAACATATGATCGGCTGGTGGTGGTGTACATACGTGCAATTCTTCGTTACTGATTGATCAATGACGAGTCCATGACAACAACCCATGAAATATGTGACCCTCCAAGATAGCGATCTGCTGCCAAGTGGCTGTGTCGAAGATCCTAATTGAGCCACGTGACCCAGAAATAAGCTTCTTTCCATTTGACGTCCATGCGAAACTCAAAACTTGTTGATCGTGTTTGAGTGTGGCGAGGAGGTCGCCTGACTTGGAATCCCAGATTTTCACTGCAGTCTCGCTGTATCCGCCGCCCGTCACAATTTTTGATTCGTCTTACATCACCGCGTTCAGCCACATGTGCCCAGTCTTGATTGTTAGAACGGTTTTACCACTCTCGACGTCCCAGATTCTTGTTATCCCGTCGTAGCATGCGCTCAAGACTCGTTCACCATCTGCACTCCAGCACACGGACTTCACCCAACGATTGTGCCCTGTCCATTTGGCAATGACCTTCCCCTTCTCGACGTCCCACAACCTCACTTTTCCATCTTCACTTCCGCTTGCAACGGTATGGCCGTTTGGAGACAATGCTATACCCCACACTTCTGTCTTCTCCCCCTCATCTCTCCAGTTCTCTCCTATCTGTACGCCACTCACTAGATCCCATAGTCGTAGTGAGCCGTCCTTTGAACTTGTGATGATGCGTCGCCCGTCAGGCAGGTGCACAACACTTTGTACCCAGTCGGTATGACCTCGCATCGTCTGGTGGGGCACGACCCATGGGGTTTGTGGCCTCTTGGTCAGGGATGACATGGTTGGACCTTTGGGTGGCAAATCACGGAATATGTATGCGAAAGAAGCCTGCCAGGATTCTTTGAATTAGAACAGGTTGTACAATATCTGGCAAGGTCAAAGATTATCGGTGAGTCGACAGGCCTATCCTCTTTGACTTCAATTGGAACTGTACGAGTTGCCCACGAAAATGCACAGGAACTCGATCCTGACCCACAAGATGGCTTCGGAACTATGTATGCAGGTATTAGCTCCAGCGTTATTCGAGAATTCACAAGAGAATTTTGCGGGTACTTATTAAAGGTCGGCGATAAGTGAGCAGTTCAGTTTTAGAGCTTAGAGTATGACTTACGAGACACACTTATCAGGACTGACTCACGCACTTCCAATCACAGATGACTAGTAAGCGGCTGAGACGTTTAGTTCGAAATCGAGGATGTTAGGTACCCCTTCGTTCATGTCGTCTTTTAAGGTGCGTCCCATGCGTTGTCCTCATTCGCTTCACAGGTCAATTGCTGTGTAGACGAAGCGCTCAGGTCTCCGACGGATCTTCCTATATGTAATATGGCGATGGTAATGACAACCGCTTCACAGAATGCCGTACTGGCTCTCTGGTTCACATGCTTTCTTCAGCCTCCTCGATGTTGTCAACTCCTTGGTTGTTTGCAAGCAGTACAATATGCCGTCAGCGCATACTGTATCTCGAATACTGCCCTGCTCTGACGTGGTCCCTTAAGTACGTGCCCTCAATACCAGTCCCCCCTTTACGACATGGCTGTTCCATCACCCTTCCTCCATCTTTGGATCCTTCAGTTCTCGAGGTATCCATGGTCGTTCTGCGGCTGCTAAATCAGTGCGCCCTGTGTATCATTTGTATGAGCCCACACTGTCTCGGCGAACCAGTAACACTGGTATTCAAGTGTTCTAGTTCGTTGATACAGTGCGAAAATTTGGAATTTTGATCAGTGTTCCCTGCGGGTCAAGAATCGTGCAGAATCATGCCCAGAGCACCATGTGTGCTTTCCTTGTCATGTGGTCCCTCAGACAGACCTAAGACAAGAGTATCAATGTCCTACAGAATAGGATTTGCCTTCGTGATGGTTCTTGATTTACTTCCAGTGGAACGGCTAAGGAACCGTTATTTCACTGAACAAGTGGACTATTAGCTCGCCGTGGAGGCAACAAACCCTAATCAATATTTTCCTCTAATATTGACAATACTGAAGGTGGGTGGTGCGATGTTGTTCCATCAACCTTCCCCCTTCTTCCAATACTCCGGCGCTCGAGGTATCCGTTGCCGTCCTGCGGCTGCTCAATCAACACGCCATCGTGTACCATTTACACGAGAACCCATACTGTATAGGCGTACCAGTAGCATTCTGGTTCGCTCCTACAGTGAGGAGACTTGGCTTTTGAATCTGATCACACTTTCCACGCAGGTGAAGAATCGTTCTGAGACCACGCAATCAATTGCGAGCCTCACTGGGGGTTGTTCCGCTTCAGCTCTTTTTTGAGTATGTGACTTTACCTGAGGCTCTGCTTTCCATCCGCAACTTGTGCCCTGCCGATGCTTGTGTTTATATCGTAGGATTAACACTGGTGCATTTTACGAGCCCCGAGATAGATATCCTACCACGTATTCAATACTACTCATATAGAATGCAAATCGAATGATGGTTCTTGATCTCAGCGGCTCAATTCGCTGGACGGGTCACGGTGATAGCGCCCGAAAGCCGCAAGACACTTCGGTTAATCGAGTCGATGGGGTACGACCTGGTATGGCACGCTCTCTAGTACTGGGCATCTTTGCGTGTGCGGCGACAACGTATATTGACAGGCCTGAACGCTTTGTATGACGAGTTGCGGACTGGAGATATGGAATACAAATACGATCCGCGGGTGGTGGTGCCAGGTGCACATGTGAGCACTTCGTCATTGATCGACCTACTTACGAGTCCATGATAGCAACACAAGAATTTTGTGTTGAGCGTGCGCACGTGTACGGTATACTAAGTAGTGAGTATGATGCGCTGCAGGACCCACTCAACTTGAATATAAAGAACCTGAGGAGAACTGGTTCGTACGTGAGTTCGAGAATCTGGAGAGACGACACGATTGTCCGAAGCCTGTGGAAGATATAGACATCATCATCAAAGAGATGGTGTTAGGGCTGTTCGCATCGAGGTGGAACAAGGAGCTTGATTGTATAATGTTCATGTAGCATGCATTTGAACTTGAAAGAAGATGTTGTATACTTGTTGACGACCAGAGAAAGACACGTCGATAATGAGGTAACAATACAAAACTAAAGCAAGTATGGAATAGTTGACCAAGTGCTGCATCAGCGACCAGGCGTCGTGGACGTCGAGGCAGCAACAGGCTGAGATTGCGATAACGACGCCTGGGCTTGGCCTTGTGATTGGCTCTGCTGCTGCTGTGTTCGTTTCGCCTGGTCACGACGCGAAGCAACAAACAATGCTTGGACAGAAATCGTTGAACCACGTTGATTGTAAATACACCAGAAGAAAGACGTACCCGTTTGTCCCGCACTGCAGGAACTTCAACGACATGAGGGCCGCGAGGTGAAAGCCTGGGGCGTTGCTAGAGTTCAGTTGCTTCACCAATACCGGAGTGAGAGCGATGAAAGAACGATGAAAAGCGACCGAGGAGCATATGCGGATTCGTCGAAGAGGATACGAAAGAGCGGTTGTGAGCCGAGGAACGAGTGCGCATTGCAGAGGACTGAACGTAAATAGATCAGAACAAAGATTGGTTACAAATGGTGACGACGCACGTCATCGAAAAAGCCTGGTGGTAGTCGACGGGCATCCCTGAGGTTGGCTGGACGTCGGGTAGCATCAAGTACTGCAAATTTCCGAGGATAATCGAAGTCAAAATCCTAGAATAGCACTTGAGAGTCAATTGAGAAGCTCACCAAAATAAACAAACATTGCAACTACGTGGTTCCAGCTAGATGGTACTCGCACGAACTCCTCGCACAATCTGAACCATTGCAGTACTAGGTGGATTAGAGTGAATCGTAGGCCCTGAGACGTATAGTTGTACAGCTAACTTCGAAGGCTGTATGCTTAGATCATATAATGCATACTGTTGATGCACAAGTGCACGTGATACGACGCGACGCGTCAGGCGGAGTACAATTGATAGGAATTCCAACCAGACTCGTATATATATTCGTTTCCCTTTGTATCGCCTTTTCCCTCAGTCCGTTCCACCGAGACTGAGGGTACGTTCTCTTTCATTATCCCGCTACTACGACTAGACACTAACGCATATTTATATTAGTATTAACAGTGTCTAGGTACTTAATACAGTCCGTTCCACCGAGACTGAGGTATTAACAGTGTCTAGTTTCTACAGGTTATGAGCCCTGACACGCACCTATAGCTGTCACATACCGCAAGCTCGAGACTTCGCTCACGACTCGACTCCCACGTGCTTGTCTTTATCTTATCTAGACGCGCGACGCCCGCCGTATTTCGGACGACCCGGGCATCCTTCTGCGACCTCTTCATTGAGGTTCGCTCATCTTGATGTGCGCGTGCACACGTCTGGGCTTTCACGCCTGCCTCATCATGCCCACCATCATCTGCGTCTCACTGCCATTCAATGCCGAGCTCATTGCCCAATCACGCTAAATCGTGACGGCGTCTCTATCTCGATGCATGTGCAAAAACGCTTCATCCGGTTGGTCATACCGTCGTCACGCACCATCATCATATTCACTGCACCCCGCTGTCTCCGGGCTATCGCTGTACCGCACGCGAGCTTGTTCGAGGGGGTGTATTATCTCGTCCACACTCATGCTGTCTCCGAGTTATCGCTGAACCGCACGCGAGCTCGTTCGAGGGGGTGTATCACCTTGTCAATACTACTACATCATTCCACGGCTATCATACTAAGATCCTCGGCGCGTGTAACTGCTGGAGCTCGTGTACTCGCAGTCGCGGGGGTGACTGTTGCCTATATGCACACGAAGTACCGCTGAGGGACCATAGCAGGGCCATTCTATCGCATATAGACGAGCTGGCAACCATGCATAGAGTCCCATTGGAGAAGTTGCCTAGGTGTTGTTCACTTTCTCGCTGTTTCGTAGTTTATTCACGCCAGTCATGTTTTGTCAACTTCACGCACTTATTATCTTCCTCACGATGTCTTGGTCGAGGGGGTGTGTTAGAGTTTGGCATTCCACCCTTCGTCATCGTTCATTGTTCGGATAGTTCCGATTACGTACATATACCTACGTCGTAGACCATCCTCTCCTTGTCGCCTCCCGCCATGTCGTAGACACACGATACAGCGTTGTTCTCTAGCTCTCAACACATACAGCTATACTAGTTTAATTCGTGTGCGAGTGCAGGAATCTTGAGAGACGATACGACTGTCCGGCGAGTTCAAAATGTCACAAACAAGTATTACTTAGCTGAATGTTGTTGTTCTCCCAACCACGATTAACTGCCCACCGTGCGTACTATCGTTAGCATGACACACGCTTGCGCGCAGCTATGTTCAGAGTCCGAGACGAAAAAAGAATTCGACCAGAGCCCCTGCTGGAAAAACAGAGCACCCAATGTCGCCCGAGGCGGACCCTGGTCGTGTGCCGGGCTGTGCGATCGGCTCGACCTCCCCGTTGCACGATTTCAAGACAAACCTTGCACAAGGGGACGAGGCCGTGGAAGAGATAGACATCGTTATCAAAGAGGTGGCACTAGCTGTTTGCGTTGGGACGACATGAGGGGATGCTTGACTGTATGTTGCTATGTAGGATACATGTTTTTTTTGAACTTGAAGGAATATGTTGTATACTTATTGACAACGAGGGAAAGACATTGACAATGAGGTATCAATAAAACGGAACTAAGGCAAAGATGAAATACTAGATGTGCGCCTGCATTAATGACCATTCGTGTGCGGAGGAGATGCGCAGCACAGAAACAACACGAAACGGGCCCACAATGGGACGGGTCGTGACTGCGTGCCTGTCGGGCCAGGCGTGGTAGTACTCGAATCTGGAGTATGAGATGTTGCGGATGTCGAGGCGACAACAGGCTGAGATTGCGATGACGACGCCTGGGCTCGGCCTTGTGATTTGCTTTGCTGCTGCTGTGGTCGTTTCGCCTGGTCACGACGCGGAGCAACAACCAATGCCTAGAGAGAAATCACTGAACCACGTTGATTGGAAATGCGCTGGAAGGAAGACGAACCCGTTTGTCTCGTACTGCAGAAATATCAACAACATGACGACCACGAGGAGAAAAGAGAGTGCGTGCGGGGCGTTGCTGGAGTTCGGTTGCTTCACCAGTATTGGAGTGAGAGTGGCGGAAGAGCGACAAAAGGCGACCGAAGAGCGTGTGTGGATTCGCCGAAGAGGATGACAGAGTGAGAGCGTGGCCGGTAGAGGAACGGGGATGGGTATTGCGCGTTGCGGAGGACTGAAAGCACACAAGTCAAAAGGAAAATGGGTCAAAAAAAATGCTGACAACGCACGTGAATACCGTCTCGCACACTATCGAAAAAGCCTGGCGGTAGTCGACGAGCATCCTTGAGTTGAGCTGGACGTTGCGTAGCATCAGTCTAGAAGGTTGAGATGAATTATTGACAAGGTCGAGAAACATGTCACGTACGTTCTTTGACGACTTTCCAACTGGGACCTGCGGTGAGAGATTAGCGTAGTCTGAATTAAAGAGATTTACGCTCACATCGGGAATAGATAGTAGTTCTTCCAGGCCAGCTTCTTTTAGGATCGCATAGATGTCCCACACGTACGCATTTCCGTCATCACTACCAGTGACTAGCCGTGTTCCGTCAACGGAAAAGGCTGCACATCTCGCATGATTTTTGTGGGGGAGGGGTGGTCCAACTGGGAGGTTCGTGTCGAGATTCCACAGCCGTGCTGTGTTATCCTCAGATGCGCTCGCAAGGAGGCAGTTGTTCCGAAACAAAGAAATGCTGATGACCGAGTATGAGTGACCCTCAAGAATGGCGATCTGCTCCCAACTGGTTGTATCAAAGATCCTAATTGAGCCACCCAATGAACTGGAGATAAGTTTCTTGTTATCCGACGTCCATGCCAACCTGATAACTTCTTCATCGTGTTTGAGTGTGTCGAGCAACTCGCCTGTCATAGCATCCCAGATTTTTACTGAATTCTCGTTGTAGCCGCCCGTCGCAATTATTGTTGAGTCGGGCGAGTTGATCACCTGCCACACAGACTCGTGTCCGGTCTTGATTGTCAGGACCGTTCTTCTGCTCTCGATATCCCACACTCTCACCGTCCCGCCTTCCAGGCTAGATGCGCACGCCACTCGTTCACCATCTGCACTCCAGCACACTGACCACACACGCATGTGTCCTGTCCATTTGGCAATGACCTTGCCCGTTTCGACGTCCCACAACCTCACTTTCCCATCATCACTTCCATTTCCAATAATGTTACCGTTTGGAGACAATGCTATTCCCACATTATTGCCTTCTCCCCTCATCTTTCCAGTCCTCTCCTATCTGTGCGCCACTTTCTAGGTCCCATAGTCGAAGTGACCCGTCGCTTGAACTCGTGATGATGCGTCGTCCTGCAGGCAGACATACTACACCATTTACCCAGTCGGTATGACCTCTAATCGTCTGGCGCGGTATGACCTCTGGCGTTTGTTGCTTCTTGCTGGGGGCGAGAGACATGGTTGGCACTTGGTGTCTCAGCTAGATCGTGGATTGTGTATGTCAGAGACCTTTGCCGGAATTAGAACAGGATATCTGGCAAGGGTAAAGATTGTTCGGGAGTCGATGGGCCTGTCTTCATTCACGAGTTGCTCACGAAGATGCCTTCTTACGGGAGCTTAATCGTCACCCACAAGATTGCTTCGGGACTATGTTTGCAAGTGTTGTTCCGGCCTTATCCGAAATTTCACAAGAAATCTTTCAAAAGTCGCCAGTAAGCGAGTGGTCAGCTTTACAGCTTAGAGTATCAATCTTGGTGCCAGGGATGGACGTCGGACTGCAACTTGAGACAGTGTGCGTTTGGTTTGGAATCGAGGAAGTTGGGCACCCGTGGGTTTGAGTCGTCTTAATTTAGGTGCGTCCCATCCTGATGTGTTATCTTAGTGTTTCTTTCACAGGTTTATTGCTGTGTAGAGGAAGCGCTCATGTCCGCGATTGGCGCTACGTCACTGTGCATCTTCCTATATCATGTATATGTGAGGCACTACATTAATTGTTGTGACAAACATTCCACTGGGTGCCGCATTATTCCTCTCCACTTCACACGTTTCTTCCCACTTGTCCATCTTCAAATTTGGTCTTTGACATTCAGACTCTCAGCATGTTTGCAGGTGGTGTAGACCCCTTTCTTATTGCCCTTGATATCCATACCCCCTTGGTGACACGGCGAAACGGTGAGGGCCTGTAGCGGTACTATCCAACTGTGGTTCCCGGCCTGTTGGTGAGTTGTGTTACTTAACAGTCCAGCCCACTATACACAATGCGAAACCCCACCTGACACCACACGTTCATCATACATGTCCAATAATTTCGAACCTTCCACACCAATTGTATGTGATTCCTGATGACTACGTGCGCTAATGATTACAATCTCATGTCCGAACCTCAATGAGCTGGAATGTGAAGATCAGTGGCACTCTATAAACGCTACCAAACGCCTGAAGTCTACATTCGGTGAAGTATCCATGCCACCCACCCATACAAACTGACGCGCCATGTATTCTAGACTTTATAATCCAATCCTCATATCATATTCACCAACTCCAAATCCTGCAATCACTCATAATTCCTCAACACACCCTCCCTCTCTTACTCGCCTATATGGAATTCATCTAATCCGGTTCTCAGTTAGCATCGTGCGGTAATCAACAGGATCCTTCAAGCTAGCAAGCCATTATGCCCGCGCGGGCTTCCTAACACACTCGTATAAAGCCATCTCATCTTAATTCAGATTGCACGTCTAAAAGTGGCTAGCGGGAATAGCGGACTGGTGGGGGCACACCTCACACTAGGGCATTCATCAATCTGGAGATGCATTTGGGAGACTGGGGTCCCGTAGACTAGACTGTATTGTCCTTTATAGAGTTTACTCTCAATAGAACATAAATTGGACATAAAAATAAATAAAAATGGCACTCCATTACTGGCAGCCCAAGTGACTTAGGCTGCCGAATCGAACCTGATGATCTTGTTCAACAAGATCATCAGGTTCAATTCTTGAATTCGACAGACTACGACTGTGGAGTTATTACTTAATTGAACTGTGAGCTTCCTGTGGGCTGTTGTCAGTCATGGTGTGCTAGACTACCCTCAGGCCTGATATCGCTGGATGCATGCTATGAAGGGGTTTTTTCGCTACGTAGAAGACATCTAGGTAGTCCTTTGAACAAGAAATGCCCGTGAAGGGAAATTCCGACCAAAAACATGCACCATTCTAAATTTCTGAGCACGTGACTCGTGAGATATAATACGATCAAGCGCGTCCATCTACGACGCGTCCCTACATTGCACCATGCTCTCTTTCAACTTGTACACAAATACTTACCCATTATGTGTCCTGCGACTCTTGAATCTTCCATATTACGACACCTGGTTCCCTTCGGATGCCAATAATGCAACAGCATACAGCACGGACTTCGACTCCGATTTATATCGAACATCGTGCGTCGGATCCAAACGGCTTTGTTATCACTTTGGATGATATTTGAAGATGAAGGTAATTAACTAGCGCATATAATAGCGCGGTACATGCTGGCACACGTTGACATGGTGGCGGTTTATGGTGGTGCCGCGTCAACATTGTGCCTGCATGTTCTGCATAATCCCGCATCCATTTCACCTGCATTATAGGTAGTGGTGTCGCGTCAATTTAACTTTGCCCGCACTATTCATATGCGCTAGTTAACTACCTTCCTTCACTTCAGAGTCATTCGGGGACCTCCCTGCCAGATCCCGTATTACCTCACACAACCAATGCGTTTCTCCTTCCTCGTCGTCGTTGCTGCTTTGACAGCATCTATGTCTGTTAATGCCACACCAGCTGTTCTCGGCGGGCGAGGCTGTTCTGCTGAGTTCTCGCCTTGCCACTCGGATCGTGATTGCTGCTCTCGAGACTGTATTTTGGCTGTGAGTACTCGAAGTAGTTTGCTTTGCATCCAATATTCAACCCCCTTTTACCCTAAAATGTAATAGTCCTCCGGACCGTGGTGTGGACCTGAGATACCGACGAGTTGATATGACACGAGGGTGAGTCATGTTTCTGCTTTCGTGTCGGTGCTGTGGCTCACAGCGCAGTTCTTAGTTTCTGGCGGAGTTGATCAGGGTTGTTTCGCTTGAACACATTCTTCACGGCTTGTTCTTCCTAAATACAATTGTAAATCAGACTACGTGAATGAGGCGGTGGCCGTACGTTCTATGATCCAGTACCACAGGCGAGAGATGTGAATATCATTGGCAGCCAAGATGGGCCATGTCGCTAGAAGGAATATTGGGGCCCAAACCGTATGAAATACCTGGGTGACAATACAAGAAGTGCGGAGAATCACGGTCAATAATGCAGCAGCAAAGAACGCCATTCTGTCACAGATTGAGCCCATCGACCCGTGTCAATATCTAACCAGAAACGCACCCCAAAATCAGAAGTGCAAGCGGCAGACTGAGCTTGAGAGCGAGGCTTTCGAGGCTAAGTAAAGAACGTGATATTTTGACCGTGAAAGACGCCTGTGGACGTAAAGAATACAGGTCAAACAATTGGAAAAGAAACTTACCGCGTCTTCAGCGCAGCCTCGCCGGTTGTCATTAACTTGACTAGCCAAGAAGTCGTGCCTCGCCGAAACCCGCCAGATATTCAGGTCAATCGAGTATGAGGGGGTATGTTATGCTCTCTAGTCATGAGCATCTTTGTGTGTGAGGAGACCATAGAATAAAAGGCCTGAACGCTTTGGATGATACTGGAGATATGTAACGTACGATTGGGTGGTGGTGCATATGTGACAACTGTACGATGAGCCCACGATAGCAACTTTACAACCCACGAGACTGTTGTAAGCGCACGTCAAACCAGCTGTACGAAGTAGTAAGTACAAGGCGCATGAGAACCTACACTCAACTTACATATCAAGAATCAAGTTGAGACGATACGACTGTCCGATTTCATAGTGACAGTTACCTCGAGTGCTAAGGGTCCTCGGCTACGGCTATAACGAATCGATTAGGTGAAGACGGACGCTGAAGGGAGTGGCGTCGCGCTTGACAGGGTAGAGTAAACTGGCGAGAAGGAAAGTACGAGAGTTTGGGTAAGTGGCGGCATGGTTGGGTATGGTATTTGACAAAATAACGAGTCGCTAAGGGTTTGTTGATAGATTCTGGACGGTTGGGTTGCGATTAGGGCGACGGTGATGAAAAGAGGGTCGAGTGGTGGCGAGGAATTGGCGGTGGAGTTGAGACGGGGCTTGCAGGTTGACGGCGCCGGTGAGGATGGTTGTGGTAGCGGTAAGCGTTGATTCGGCCGTTTCCGGCGATAGACGATTGGTAATCCTTACACCATCTGCATTCCAACACAGTGCGCTGTCCACTCGGTGATGAGCTTCCCAGTCTCGACGTCCCACACCCTCACTTTCCTATATTCACTTCTACTTGCAACGGTGTTGCAGTTTGGAGATAATCCTATTTGCACTGTTGCATTCTACACCTCATCTCTCCAGTCTTCCCCTATTTGTGCACCATTTTATATGTCTCATAGTCGAAGTGGGCCGTTCCTTGAACTTGTGATGATGCGCCGCCCGCCACCCGGCAGGTGCACAACACCATTTACCGTGTCGGTATGACCTCGCATCATCTGGCATGGCGCGACTTTTGGCGTTTTTTGCTTCTTGCTGGGGACAGAAGACATAGTCGGCGCTTGGTGTCTCAACCGGATCGTGAATTATGTATGTCGGAGAAGCTTGCCGGAATCTTTGAATTCCGACAGGTTATCTGTCAAGGGCAAAGACGATTTGGTAAGTCGACCCGCCTGTCCTATTCGAACCGCACAATTTGCTCACGAAGATGCCTTTTTACAGGAGCTCAATCACGACCCACAAGATTGCTTCGGGACTACGTTTGCAAGTGTTGTTCCGACCTTATCCGAAAATTCACAGGAGATCTTTGTGTGCCGGCAAGCGAGTGGTCAGCTTTACAGGTTAGAGTATTACTCACGAGAAACACCGTGCAGACTAACTTACACAGATGATACTTCATCAGCGAGACAGGGGGCGTTTGGTTCGGAGTCGAGGAAGTTGGGCACCTGTGGGTTCAAGTCGTCTTAATTTAAGTGCATCTCATCATGATGTGTTATCCTAGTGTTGGTTTATTGATGGTTGTGGCAAATATTCTACAGGGCGCTACATTATTCCACATGTTTCTTCCAAAATCCAGCCTGTCTATCTTCGAATTGGGTCTCTTCTGGTGCAGCATGCGTAGACCCCTCCCTCATATCGTCCTTGATACCCATACCCCTTTGGTGACATGGCGAAACGGTGATAGGCTCGCTGCGGGCTGGTAGTGGTACTATCCAACTAGGGTTCTGAGCCTGCTGGTGAGTTGTGCTACTTAACACTCCAACCCACTATACGCATTCCGAAAATTCCACCTGGTGTCACATTTTTATCATGCATACTAGTAATTACGGAACTTCCGCACCAATTTATCGCAACTCCTTGGTTCCCTTCGGATGCCAATATTTAATGCAACAGTGTAAGGATTGCATATCCTCTACAAACCGATCACGCTTCAAAGCGAAGACGACGTGACTCCGTTACTCTTCGCATCCGAGTTACAAACTTCCATTTTCATTTCCTTTTACGATCTTACCTTGTGCTCACACTTCACAATCCCTTTCTTGGACCGAGTATTTTCACCTCACCATATGCTCTTCATGCCGATTCCGGCCTAGTTAACCATTCGAAAACGTATATATACCGCGCATGTACATTCATACCAATAGAGAAAGCAAGCGAATTCTATCCTAGATTCCCCGCTCCAAGAACGACCGAGAAGCCTCACAGAAAGTCCCCGCCTTATACGTTTACCGACTCGTCTAGATTACTGTTGCACTCGTCATCTACTCACTTCGTTTCGCTCCAATTCCCCTTCGAACTCACTACGCGCCTTACAACAGCATACAGCACGGACTTCGACTTCGATTATATCGAACCTTGTGTTTGACATCATGGCGGTTTGTGGTGGTGCCACGTCAATATGTGCCAGCATGTTCTGCATCAATTTAACTTGTATATAGGTGGTGGTGCCGTGTCAGCATGTGTTATCATGTCCTGCGTAGCCCGTGCTACTTTTTTTGTTATATGCGCTAGTTGATTAACCACCTTATTCGAGGACCTCCCTGCCAGGTCCCGTATGACCCTACAATGTAATAGTCGCCTTATGGGTTGTGCGGCATGTACACCTAAGATACCGATGAGCTGACATGACATGAGGGTGAGTCATGTTTCTGCTTTCGTGTTGGTGCTGTGGCTCACAGCACAATTCTTAGTTGCCGGCGGAGTTGATCAATGTGGTGGGGCTTGGACACATTCTTCACGGCGTGTCCTTCCCAAACACTCGATACAATCGTACGCACTACAGACAGTTCCCTGCATGTAATGACAGACTACACGAATTAAACATAAGAAGTGGTGATCGTACGTTCTATAATCCAGTGACGTAGGCGAGAAATGTGGTCGGTAATCCAGTACCACAGGCGAGAGATGTGAATATCATTGGCAGCTAGTATGGGCCATGTCGCTAGAAAGAATATCGGGGCCCAAATCAAATATACAATCACCCGAGTGACAATGCCAGAAGTGCGGAGAATCACGATGAACAATCCAGCAGCAAAGAACGCCATTCTGTCACAGATTGAGCTCATCGACCCGTGTCAATGATCGACCGGAAACGCACCCCCAAATCAGAAGTGCAAATGGCAGACTGAGCACTGAGAGCGAGGCTCTCAAGGCCGAGCATAGAACGAGATATTTTGACCATGAAAGACGCCTGTGGACGTAAAGAATACAGGTTCAAACAATTGGAAAAGAAACTTACCGCGTCTTCAGCGCAGCCTCGCCGGTTGTCATTAACTTGTCCAGCCAAGATCAGTGAGACCACTAACGAGCCTAAGGCGCTGAGGGTAGACAGATATGCTAGAAGGATCGCAGGTGTTTGAGCCTGGACAGATGAGACTGCGAGAAAGCTGATATCAACAGCAAGCATCACAGTAGACTAAGATGGTCACCGATCGCATGACAATCTGAAACGAAGTACAACTCACATATATTGTGTATCCACTCCATTCAGTTGTGAGCCCATTGATAAAGTTCTGCCATCGCGGCTGAACCATGGTGTCATCGACCCATACCCTGTGAACAGCCTTGCTCTTAGCATCAGGGGATCCAAACAGAATAACATTCATGACGTAAAGAAGGATCTTTTTCCAGCGAGTGTTGGATCCTGATCCTCCGTCGTATAACGATTGGTCTACGTTAAGTCGAGCGCCTGGTTGTCCACAAAAATTTACGAACTTGGCATTGCCTACCACAACAATCAGGAAACCGGGTGCGCAGAAACTGGCCTGTGCTCACAGAAAAGTCTCATGCATCGAGCTGAAATCAGCAATCAGAAGCAATCGACAGACCTTCCATGATCAGACATACCGATGATCCACACGGAGTGCTCACGCTCCTTGTTAGTACTGTCTGAGAAGAATATCAACGGCGACCCCCCGCATCAGAAAATGATTTACTCATGAGAGAATCCATAAGGCCAAGCATACTTGTAACCTCGTCCGATGAAAAAGGCGCTAGGCATGTTTCGGAAGTGATATTTTCTATCACGAGTCAATATTGCGGGGCGTGAAACGCTTGTTAGTCTTTACTCACCTGCATGAGCATGCATCACAATTTCTTTTAGTTCCACGACAACGTCTTCTGGAAGGAGGCGTTTGTTTGGAAATAGTTCGATGTGTCTCCTGTCAATATCATGACATGTAACTCGTGGAGGTAAAACAGGGCTGTAGAAAAGTGTGAGCGCTTTTACTTTGGTCAAGTGGGGCAACATGCGTACTTCTAGAGATAAGACGAACCAGTACTGTGTTTCTAGTGCATACCCTGGGAGCCATGCTAGTATCACAGAAGGTCAAATCGAATATATTAAAGAACTCACTGACGTGGCTTTTGCGTTCTACGCCTCGAACACCATTCATCAACCAGTTAGATTCGGAATCATAGTCTTCGAACCAGAAAATGACGCGTCTGTCGTGATCGGCAAAGTAGTAGCCCCACATCTCTTTGTCATCCTCCTCCATGAATTCTAACCCTAGCTCCACGGATCGATCCAAGGAGATGCCTGCATTGCGCGCTTCTTCGCGCGCCTTCTCGACAGCCTTGTCTATTTTGACAGCAGTTTCAGAGTTTCGAACATCAGCATCAGTAAAAACCCTCTGGTGCCCAATATTAGTAAAGTGATGTATGAGCGGGTGGTAGCATGACGCACTTTATATGGGTGATAGAAAAACAAAGCCCCTTCTGGGTGCGTCAGCGGCTCCCATCCCTCTACCGTGGCAAGCTCCCTACGAGACCATTTCAATCTCATCGCTGGCTCTCCCCAGCATGCTTACTCTGAACAGTCCAAAGGACCTTTTTTAACTTTAAACACTGCAAAATCGTCTTTACTGCGGGTATGGATTAGAACGGTAACTTACTGGAACGAAGTAATTTTTGCGTACACTGGCACATTCCTATCATATCGCCTGACCTGTGGTTCTGGTACAATGGGAGTAAGAGTGATATCAAAGCACGTTCCTGGCACCGCAGGAGGTGGTGGCGTGGGCACACCAACGAGGTTGCAGATGCTGGGCTCGGGCATAGGGATCGATGGAGCAAACTGTGTATTTTGAGCTACGCCATCCGACCCTTCGTGAAGCTCGGGAGTTGGAACCTGGGCCTGAATTTTCGTTCCAGCTTCGATACCCTTTAGGCGCTTCAACTCGCAATGGCACTGCGAGGGTCACAGAAGCCGTCAGCCTGCCTTGGTTGCTTGGCTGAGAGCTCAATGCTAAAACTCGCTCCCGAAAAGGGCTCTCTTGTCCACTAACGAATTGACAGTGTCGGATCAGTCGCAGGAAGAACAGAGATGAGACACCTGTAGGATCGCATTGCGGCCGTCTTGACGATGTGTCTCAACCAGGAGATGAACATGTACATGTATCTTCTATGCATGATCATTATATCGGCAAATGGAGCCAGGTACCGAAACTAGGAAACTTTGTTTGCCAGTGGGCGAGAAGGTCGAATGATAGCCTTGCAGTACTAGGAGAATGAGCGAGTGATGTGTGACCTGTTACCATTCCGAAATAGATCGGCTCTCTATCTTTCAGAAAGCATATTACCATTCGACTGACGTTATTTAGTAAAGGTTGGACCCCGCAAACCATATCGGAGAAAGGCACGAATATTTTTTCATGTATCGTCTTTATTGTCCTAATTACATCTCTTCGTTGTCCTACTTGTCGAGCTCGCGGTCTTTGTGCACAGGATCCTCTGCTTTTTTCTCCAATCCTAGTGCCCGTGAATGCCGCCATCTCTCTGCATCCTGCTATAAGGATTGTTTATCCTCTAAGCTCCGACCAAGCTCCAAAATGAAGACGATCGACGTACCACGCGTCGACGTCATTCCCTCTCCATTCTATCTCGTTATTTTACCTTGTGCATGTACTTCACGATTCCCATCCTCCACCGAGTATTTTCACCTCGCCGCATGATACCTACACTCGTTCTGGTTTAGTTTCTCGTTCGAAAACGTATATATACAGCTCATGTACACTTAGATTCAGCAGCAGAATCCCAGACGCTGATTCCCCGCTCCAAGCTCGACCGAAAGCCTCACAGACACTCTCCGTCCTATACGTTTTGCTATACGTCTCAATTACCTTTGCACTCGTCTCGTTTCCGCTTCGTTTCATTACATTTCCCCTTCGAACTCACTGACAGCCTTACAAATTTGGAGCCCACCGCGAGGGGAATTGTTTTCGAGCAACCCATCATTTAACTGCGATCTCAATACTTTGAATTAGGTTCGGCGTCGGTGAACTAAGCGCAATAAACGGCATTGCAGACGGTAATGTTATTCATAGTCGTTCTCGCACATGATAACTCGCAGACTACTCAGCGTTCTTTGAAATGGTCCCTGTCCTTCATATCGTTGGAGTGCCTAGCACTACTCAGTTGAAGAATAAGCCTATGCTTCATCACACGCTTGGTAACGGGAGGTATGCACATCTCCTTGTTTTATGAATAAAACATAACCTGCGGCAGAAATTGATCGAATCCCCACGGAGTGTATTGTTCGTGTAAGTGTTGATTATCCACCTTCCTCCCTTCAAACAGTGAATATCCCGCAGGCTCGCCCTGTTCACGTCGCACTGCCGATAGACCTTACTACCGAAAAAATCCCTGCAAAAGGTTTAGAGGCCGAGCTCTCGCGGACGCCTCCTCCTAATGACTAAGCGTTGAGAACTATGTTCTCGACGAGATCATGGAGCTCGTGGATGATGCTAAACAAGACATCGTCCTCCTCGTGGATGCTTGCGCTATTCGTCACGACGTGCGCCAGGAAGTCAACGACCTTCTCGTCAAGACACAATTCCCTGTATATACAGCGCCGATGGGTAAGACGGCGGTGAGCGAGGAATATGAATGATACGGCGGTGTAAGTTTTCATCCTGACCTTCGTTTAAAACCGTTCTGACACCTGCTATAGATCTACATCGGACCGACCACGCATCCGTCCATCAAGGAGAAGGTCGAAAACGCAAAGCTTATCCTCTCGATTGGCGCATTGAAATCAGACGTCAACACGGGAATGTTCACGTACCGTATTCCGGCGACGCACACCATCGAGGTAACTTTCTGTGACATCCAGGTTCGTGATGCTTAGGTTGTTTTCGCAGTTGCACTCTGACCACACACTTGTTCGCTATGCACAATTCCCGGGTATAGGGATGAAGTTGCTCCTCCCGAAGCTCACGGAAAGTCTGAGAAAATATCAAGAAGGCGCATCACAAATTCCTGTTCCGCACTATAAGCTAGATGTCCCAAAGGAGAGTGACGACAAGATTTCGCATGCTTATTTCTGGCCCGGGTGGGCAAATCCTTCCGGAAGCCATTGTCGCTGAGACTGGTGAGTGGGAAACCATATGAAGACTTCCAAAACTTAGAGCGAATGTTGCGTCTAGGGACTTCAAACTTTGGGATTATGGATGTCCCAATGCCCGACCAGTCCGTTTTTGTTAGCCAGATCTGATATGGAAGCATTGGCTGGGCAACCAGTAGGTTTTTTGTACCGAAGCTGCATCTGATGGAAATCACTTTAGCTAGCATACTCGGTGCAGCTCTCACAGCCCGCGACAAATGTCTTGGGCGCACCATCTTATTCACTGGCGATGGTAGCATGTGCGTGGTCCGTCAACCATTCTGAATTTAACCTGATTTTTTTCATGCGTAAGACAACTGACTGTGCAAGAGATTTCAACCATGACGCATTGTAAGGCTAGTAGTGAGTTCGAAGGGGAATTGGAGCGAAACGAGTAGATAAGAGACGTGCGAGGAGGTAATCGAGAGGAATCGGAAGACGTATAAGGCTGATACTTTCTATGAGGCTTTCGGTCGTGCTTGGAGCGGGGAATCTAGTGTAGAATTCGCTGGATTTCGCTAGTAGATACGCGAGTACATGAATGATTTATATACGTTTTCGAATGGTTGACTAGGCCGGAATCGGCGTGAAGAGCATATGGTGAGGTGAAAATACTCGGTCAAAGAAAGGGATAGTGAGCAGTAGGTAAGATAACGAGAAAGAGATATAAGGGAATGTATCCACGTAACTCGGATGCGAAGAGTAAGGCTCTTCGCTTTGAAGCGTGATCGGTGCGTAGAGGGTATGCAATCCTTACAGCATCATAAGTTGACGCCAATCATCTTCGTACTGAATAACGAGGGCTACAACATCGAGAGGCACTTGCATGGCTTAGACAGGCGAGGGATGACTAAAGCACATTACTTTACATGACTGCTTACGAACTATTTCAGGAAGTACAACGACATCGTAGACTGGTCAGATAGCCGTTGCTCTCTTCCTTCGTGCTTTACTCAAGTGTTCTCATAGGAAATGGACTTCCCTCATCACCACTCTCGGCGATATTGACGGTAAGATGTCAAAGTCGTATTCAGTCCAGAACAAGTCAGAGCTTGACATGCTTCTCAATGATGACGAATTTGCGAGTGCACGCAAGATACAGCTGGTTGAAGTTATCATGGACAAGTACGACAAATCCTGTGCGTTGCAAGCATCTGCGGACTTGTGTGCGAAGATGGCGGCGGGTCAACGATCGGCGAGTATTCTCATGTGTTCAGACTGGTGTAATATTACCACAAACCGAGCGACCGCGTGCTTGTGAACTAAAACATGAGGAAAAAGTTTCGCCCTGTTCGTAAACGCCCTCTACCTTACGATAACTGATCGGTATGCGCCGGTGCGGTGTGATCGGACTAAAAGAAACGTATTTGGAAAAGAAATTTCAAACTTCAAAACGATCCATGCGGTCAAGAACGACCTTCGGGGAAATCCCCCAAAAAAATAACGTGGCGCTTAACTGGTCTTAAAAACTATTAAGAAACCAAGGGGAAGGCAGGGAGCAACGTTGGCTGGGCTCAAAGGTGAAAGCCGACAAGATAGGTTGGATACTGGTGAATACCGATACACGACGAGGTTTATGATATAGACTCTGCACAGAAAATAATCAGGCGCTTGGTAGCGGCCATGATCATGTTAGTGCAAATATATTTCCACAATGCGTGGCATTTACATAATGTGCCTAGGTTTTGATGCTAATAAGTACTTAGTACATAGAGAACCAGCCTTTTGGATACCACAAGAACCCTCCTGCACACTTTGTAGGTGTCGGGGAAGGCCTCTTCTACGACCAGACGAGTGCCTGCTAGGAGAGAGCCCAAGAAAGGACGCATACGACGACCTACAGAATCTATTTATTCCCATGTTCCGTGCCAACCAATCACCGGCTAATGGCAGAAAGTCGTCTCTTAGGACGATCTGCGTAACTCTCGTAGGCGTCTCCTTACTCAGCTTTGGAGCTCTCATTCTCCAGCCCTTGAGCCATCTGGACAAGCAGGATGCGCCTACATATTCTCCTACCTTCAGCTCGCCGTCATATGTACAAGGCCCACCCACCCAACGCTTTCGAGGTCAGTTAATGTCAATCAGTGAAAACGTCCCTCAAATCTCACACTAATGATTTCAGATAACCTTCGTAACGACACGAAGTACATTACATCGTGGACTTCATCGGGATGGAGTGCGTCAACTCCAGCCAACTACCACTCGCACTACTAATCACAGTTACTTGTTAGCGAATGACGTGATTACCTATGTAAGTCATTGACTTCCGACGACGTTGTCCCGCTTCCTCACAGAGACTAGGGAAATTTGATTTACCTGGCACTCATAACAGAACGCATACCCATAATCCCGAAGTTCCTCTCTTCTCATATCGACAAAAGTGAACCTCCATTTCCTTTTGGGGAAGTGATTGACGTCCCTCGACTTAGCCAAGCCATAGGGATTCCCTTACTTGAATGGCACGAAGTAAAGGACTCGGAAAGTCAGGTTCTCGATGATCTTGGTTGTTGGAGTGTTTGGGAAACCGTTCGAAAGAATAAGGGGGATCCCTATCCACGGGGAAGTCCCACCCTGAGCCGGCTCAAGCTCGGTGAGATAACTTTGAACATCCGTAGACGGCGATTAACTACATATTCCTCACAGATATCTCGTGGACGCGAACCCCAGATTGGATCAAGCTGACACCTCCTGGCATAGAAGACGATCATGCGTCCTTTTGGTCCCTTGCAACACTTGGGTTTCCGGAAGCTCGCTCGAACAACCTGCAATCGACGAATCATCCTTCTCCTCAGCATCAGGTCTCCCTTCCCCCGGACGATCAGGTACTATGCTTTGATTACCTTTACTACGTAGGCGCCCATCATACATGGGAATGGGAATTGGATTATTCTCCTGCATGGAGATTTGTAGGCCAACACATGCGATGGACTGCAAGCATAGAGAGGCTTGCCGATGCGCACGCCCGGCGCGCCATGAAAGTGCCAGTAGATGAACCAACACCTCCCGTAAGTGGAAGTTTCGGGTGCAGGTTGATCTACAGATCTAACTTTGGATAGTATATATCCATACACATACGGCATGGTGACTTCGGCGATCAATGTCATGATATTCCTTTGGATCAGTGCTTTGCCTCATTGTCTGTTATTGCGCGCAGGGTGTCCGAAGCGCAAGAGGACCTTCGCACACGAAAAGGGATCGAGGTTACACAGGTTATCATGACGAGTGACGAGAGTGACCCGGAATGGTGGTCAAAGGTTAGGGCGTTAGGCTGGACGTGGGTAGATTATGCGACAGAGCGGACGGAGGAGATCTACGGAAAGTGGTGAGCCGATTAAATTTCATCTTTTCATTTTGATGCTAGAAGCTGTTTCTGTTGCCAGGTATCCGGTGTTCATCGACGCTGTCATTCAGTCGAATGGAGCCGGCTTCGTCGGCACTCGTGGCTCCACAATGTCCGTCCTAGCTAGCCGCAGAGTGCAGTCATGGCATGACGGACCAACTCGAATCGTTAAATGGGGGTCCCCGGGCGCTGATGACCACTGATGTAATTGGAATAGTGGAATCGAGATGACCTTGCATCGCAAAAATCATTGGTTGAAATGACGTTGTATTCTTGTGAATCCACAGGCCGAGGCAATAAGAGCTCGTTGCTCTTCTCCGTGTATCGTACTGGGACTGAGGTTCAGTATCCCGTCACGCATCTCGTTCATCTGCTCCCCGAGTATTGGTTTCTCCTCTTCATCGGAACACAGGATTATTCTTGTCTGATTTCTAGATTCTACCAGCCTGCTCTAAATCACAAGAACACTGCAGTTAGTGGGGTTTATTATCGGAGGCCCTGAAGCAGATACATTGTACAGATCGCATAGCCCTATCAAGTTCAGAGAGGCAGGTTGTGTTTCGCTCGCAAAGATCAGCATCGAATCTCTTATGACCTTTCAAAGGCTTTGCCGTGGGTGCCATGGAAGGAGGTGATACTATCCCTTACGATCTATTCGTGATGGACCGTCATTTCGTGAGTCACGCTTTTTCGCGGTGAATTTCGTGACATACCGTTACACCATGTGACAAGCCATCACGTTTCCATGCCCAAAAGTGTGACTCACGAAATGGAGGCTCGTCACGAATAGACCGTAACCGATAGTAAAGGTGCCAAAGGCGCCACCGGTACCGGCGGTATAGTGGTCTGTGCATCAGATAGTCTCGTGAATATCATCCGCCGATGGACATCCTCATCAGGTCGTACCTTGACACACTTATGAAGCCTCTTCCTGGAATCTTGACCTGAGGATGGTTCGAATTTACGTTTCCCGCGTGCATTCTGTGTGACCAGCATGGTACTCAATTTTCACCTGGCGGTCTGGGATTATTGTTCCAACTTGTACGCAAAGGTATGTCTGGACTCACGAAGAACGGTACCGTGACGGATAAAACAGAAGATGGGTCAACGAAGATGATGATGGTAACCTTCTTGTTGTCTTGACACTAATTTACAATGTACTAAACATGAGTTCCCCCTCCGCCCTCATCAAGACGTATTACAACCAAAGTATCTTTCCAGCGGTCGCAGGGTGTTCGGAGGACAATAGAAGCACTTGGAAAACAGACACGGCACGTGCATGTCGCGACGAGTGTAGCGGACAGCACTTTGGCGTCCGCGTCAGGCGGTTCTTCAGCGCAGTCGTCATTCGATATAGGAGCAGTACTAGTAAGAACCAAACGCCCGGTCGCAGCATGGACCTGGCAGAGCGTTTACATGTCTACACGTGATGGCAAACATGCCGAACCACCATTCGTGCGCTCCAGGCAGATCGCACGGCGGGACCGTGATATAACCGCCGTCTCTGCCAGCCGGACAGCTTGTATTGCCAATAGAAATCATGTTTGGGAGGTACGAACTTGCTGCCAAATACTTCACGAATGATAAGGACGGGGTAACCAGACCACGACGAGACGTCCCTCGTGCAGTAACAGGATTTGTGCCTAGGACACTTTCTAGCAATCGCCTGGGAGTACAACTGCTCTACGGCACAGCGTTGATACTGACCTGACGTCATGGAAATGGAAGTATTGATAAAGCAGCAAAAGAAATTAAGAAAGAGCAGATGATATTTACAAAGAGATAATTGTCCACATGCTGCATTATTCAAAGCATACATGCATTGCTTGAAGGAGCGTTGATCTATGGTTAAAGATGTTCGAGCTCTGGCTTAACCGAAGCTTTTGTTTCCCGTCAAGCCCCTCCCCTTCCTCCTCATGCTCTTCGGCTGTGAGTTTCATTGTGCCTGCAATGGTTGAACGGTTGATATTGAGCAGGATCATCTTTGCCACTCGCCTTCTCCTTTATCACCCTCTCCACCTTCGCAGTCTCCATGCCCATGCCCAGCCCCACCTCAGAAAGATTCTCATTGACAAATCTAGTATAACCTCGCACACACAATGTGTTTCAGCGTCTATATGTCGTCAGTGCATGCAGCAATCTCGAACCTGACTCTTACTGACCCTATCGGAGGTAATAAAGGGGTTTGGTAGTTGGTAGTCGAAGTTGTCACGTCACGAACGAAGCTACGGTCGGACAGTCTGTATAACCGCGCGTGAACTAGGTTCTCAAAATCTCAGGAACATGCGAGGAAGGATATTTCCCATAAGATAGGTTCTTAATTACATCCCCATGAAGGTTCTGCCAGAACATTATTCAGGACGTAAAAGCAGGCGGTCTTCCTACTGTCCCTGTCAGATTTATCTGATCCCATATCACATCCTCACAAAGAATGCATTTCTCCTTCGTCCTCGCTGTTGCTGCTGCTTTGACAGCGTCAATATCTGCCAGTGACGCTGATGACAGCCCTCGTTGGCCATGGTGTCCCACATATTGCTCCGCCTCGACAAAGTGCTGCGCCGGCGAGAAATGCGTGGCGGTATACGTGATTGCGGATTCAAAACGTACAGTGAGTATTAGTTTGTGTCCTGAATTTAACCACATGACTCACCGGCGTGGTAGGTGACCCATGAATGTGTGTATTTATATGAGTGAATTGTCGTGACAGTGAACTACAGTGAGTCGGGTTTCTGCTTTCGCATCGGTGCAGTATGGTTGATGGCACGACGCGCGAGTTACTAGTGGTTTGTTGTTGAGTTGGTAAACGTGCTCGCTTCTGAACAAATTTCACTGTCGCTCGAGCCATGAAGATCTTGGAATGGAGGGAATCTCAAAGGCTTGAATACATAGCATATGACTGATGTACTTACAACGCAGTTTTGTAGTCTCACTATAAGCTTGAACATAGAAGCCCTCGATGACGCTACAACTCTTCCTCCCGTCATAAGCGTTGTTTACCGGGCCTCATGGATACGTTTTTGGTGTGCACCGAGCCGCTGGGGTTTATCACGACCCCATTAGATGGTGGTATATAGGGAAAATCGTCGTGGTCAAATTGCGAAAGCGCAAGATCCAGAAACGGCAAAGTGCTTATGAGAGTAGGTCAAGACTCGGAAAGTCGATGCGAGTTATAGGGGAGGACTCAGATCTACTGCTAACTTCGAGATCCTCGAGAGCTAGACTCGCGGTGACCAGTCTGTCTATGAGGCGAGCCGAATCTAGGCAAAGATGGCCGTCCGGCGTCAAGCAAGCTGAAAGAGTGGCTGTGCAACTTTATTTGGCAAAGCCCTGGGATCCAAACAACCGCTGGAAGCAACTTGCATGCAAGCCGGTGCTCTGAGTTCTCCTCAAGTGTTGTACAAGGGGCATCTGTCCTACGCATCTCACTAGTCTCTGAATGAGCACATCGAAATATAAGACAGCGCAATTATGGAAAACAATGAGCTCATCGGACCACCGCACCATCATGAAGGCTTAGCGAGAGTCGTGCGTCCTTTTCCGCGGATGTAAAATTTCTCGCCACTGGCTGCGGCGGCGGCCACATGTACATTCAGGATGGAATTACCCTGACGTTGGATGAACGCACTCGAGAGCTACCTCGGTCCTTCTGGAATCTGCGCTTGCTCGATTGCTGCCACATTCCGCTTCCTGACCACGCTGCAGCCTGCATAACAGAACAAATCCTCGGTCAAGTGGTACCAGTGTGTAAAAATGTACAGATAATTATACGTGCGCTACCCGTATATCCGACAGTATAAAATGAATCTCCTGTACCTGTACTCAAGATACGCAGCTGCGAAGGACACAATGTAATAATACAACAAATGTGGTTAATGAAAGCCGAAAAATGACGAACGAAGTGTGTTGTAATAAGTGAAGTGAAGTGGAGTGAGGTGAGGTATCGCTCATGAAACCCTCCCATAGTTTTAAGCACTACAGAGGATGCTGCACTGTCCAAGCTATCATGAAGCAGTGTTCTGGAGCTGCAATCAACAACTGAGCTTTCGTCCGGCGAATTAGATAGCCATCATTACTTACGTCCATATATGAATTGGGAGGCGCGCATAAATTTTGCTCGCGTTCATGCAATAACGCAGTAACAACCCCCAGTGCTTGATTGGTACTCCTCCTCAACTGGTATCGATGGTGCAGGACTCTGCTCATCGGCCGAGAAAACAGCAAGGATGTTTGAGAATGAGTCCATTGTGGGTTGTGGAGTGGAGTAGACAACGAAGCTGTGACTTTACGAGTGGTAGGAGGTTCTGTCTGAGATATGGCAGCTGGATAAACTGCTGATGGACGAGAATCAAAAGTCGGTTGAGCTGATAAATATCGAACTTTGAGAGCTCTTATGTACCTTTTCACCGTGGCTTGGCCGTGATGAGAACCGTGTATGCTCCGTCCTAATTGTCACCAAAATATCATAATCAGACTGAGACGTGCCGGTCACAGAAAGCGCACCCGCCACGCGCGAAGACCGTATTTGACACGAAGACAATAAGCAAGCTGACATAGCGAATTCATATGAGATCATATCGTGTGAGCAGCGATCATTCCGATGAGTAGGACAACTCCCGGGAGGGGCTTGGACAATAAGGTCATCCCAATTTGGCAACCGTGATATTCGCGCAAAGGTCCAACCCCGTTGGGTGATGATGAACATCAGGAGGAATGCAGATCGTGCTATCTGGGTCCAGATCACTCGAGTGTGTCCTTGTTCCGGTAACTCTACAACGTGGCGTGCATCCACGACGAAGAGCACGGAGTTCAGCATCAATTACAATTGTAAGTCGGGATTTACGAAACAGGAATGATGCTGACGGCCCCGGGATGACAGGAACGCGAGGAGATGACCTTCGTGTTGCCCCCCCAAGGACACTTTTCTAGCAACCACTTTCGAGGATGCTTCACGGCATAGCGTTGAAGAAGTCCTAGAAGTGGAAGATATCTAAATGGACATGATTGACGAAGTAGCGAAATACATTGACAACAAGATACCCATACAAAAGAAAAGATAAAGTAGTTGGCCGCATGCTGTCGCTATTGATGACCGTTGGCGTGCGGGGGATATGCACAGCAGAGAAAAAGCACGAAACGAGCCCGCAACGGGAGGAGTCGTGACAGCGTGCATGCTGGATCCGGCGTGGCAGTACTGGCAGCAGAAGCAGGGACTGTTGCGGATGTCGAAGCGGCGGCAGGCTGAGATTGCGATGACGGCGCCTGGACTTGGCCTTGCTGCTGTGTTCGTTTCGGCTTGTCACGACGCGGAGCAACAAACAATGCCTGGACAGAAATCATTGAACCACTTTGGTTGGAACTGCGCCGGAAGAACGACGTACCCGTTTTTCCTGTACTGCAGAAACCTCAACTTGAGCGACAAGAGAACCGCGACGAGAAAGAAAGTTCGCCTGGGGTGTTGCTGGAGTTCGGTTGCTTCGTTGGTGTCGGAGTGAGAGAAGCAGAGGAGCGTTGAAAAGTGACCAAGGAGCGCACGTGGATTCGCCAAAGAGGATGCGAAAGCGTGGTCGCCTGCAGATGAACGGAGATGGATACGCCGCATTGCGGAAGACTGACAGTACACAGGTCAGAACGATAATTGGTTATAAAAAAAAGCCGACAACGCACGTGAACACCGTCTTGCACGTCATTAAAAAAGCCTGGTGGTGGTCGACGAGCATCCTTGAGCTGTCGCGTAGCATTACTATACGGGGTTGACATGAAATGATTGAATAGGTCGAGAAACACGTCACGGACATTCAGTAACGACTTTACAGTTGGGACCTGAGATTAGTTTGGTCTTTATCGAAGAGACCTACACTCATATTAGGAATGGACAGTAGGTCTTCAAGGCCAGCTTCTTTGAGGATAGCATGAATGTCCCACACGCATGCATGCTTGTCATCGCACCCAGTGACTAGCAGCTTTCTATCAGCGGAAAAGGCTGCGCATTTCACATCCTTCTCTTGTTGGAGAGGAGGTTCGACTGGGAGGTTCGTGTCGAGATTTCACAGACGCGCTGTGTGATCATCCAATGCACTAGCAAGGAGGCGGTCGTTCGGAGACAAGGAGAAGGCCCGGACGAAGCGTGTGTCCCTGCAGGATGGCGATTTGCTGCTATGTGGCAGTGTCGAATATCCTAATTGAGCCACCCGATGTCCCGGAGATAAGCTTCTTTTCATCCGACGTCCATACCAAACTGCAAACTATGTGATCGTGATTGAGTGTGCAGATCAGCTGGCCCGTCTTTGCATCCCAGATTTTGACTGCGTTCTCTTTGCGTCCGCCCGTCGCAATTTTTGATGAGTCGGGCAAGTACATGACTAGGTACACATAGATGTGCCCGGTCTTGATTGTCAGGACTGTTTTACCGCTCTCGACTTCCCAAACTCTTGCTGTCCCGTCGAAGGACCCGGCCACCACCCGGCCACTACCTGCACTCCAGCACACTGTCCGCACATGCCCAGTGTGCTCTGTCCATTTGGCGATGACCTTCCGGGTCTTGATGTCCTACAACCTCACTTTCCCATCATCATTTCCACTTGCAACGGTGTCTCCGTTTGGAGACAATACTATGCCAAACACTGCTGCTTTTCCTTCTCCTCATCTCTCCAGTCCTCTCCCATCTGTGCACCACTCTCCAGGTCCCATTGTCTGAGTGAGCCGTCCCTTGAACTTGTGATGATGTGTCGTCCGCCAGGAAGGTGCACAATACCTTCTACCCAGTCTGTATGGCCTCGCGTCGTCTGGCAGGGCGCGACCATCGGTGTCTGGCTGGTTGTGGAAGACATGGTTCAACTACTGGGCCATGTAATTCGAGAGTATCTTGCCAGAATATGTGGATTGGAACGGGTTATTGTGTGGCAAGGAATGCTGCTAAGTCTACTTTGTTCTTGTCGATACAGGCGCACGAGGTATTGCGAACGGGACAGCCTGCTTACAGTTTTTTTTTTGTTTCCAATTTCTGTCCATTGGGGTAAAGTACCCTATGTCAGACAGTACTAACTAGTCTATAAGGCCCCTGCCTTTTCTACTTCTCTGGACTCGCGAATGCCCCGAGGTGAGGTTAGCCTCACTCGGTCCACCGTTCCTGCCGGCTGTTTTAGACGCGCAGTCCGTACGAAGATGAGGAGACTGCTCTCTTCGTAACGTAATAATTGGGAAGCTGATCGTAGTGTTCGTGACTGAAACGCGTACCTGCTTACAGTTTTCAGTCCTGAGCTGTGGTGTTGCTGCATATGGTAATGCGCGAATTTGCAACAAAAACTTTGCGGAATCCGATGTCTCTAGTGATAGATTTGCCTTGCGGACTGGCCTAGAACGAGAGGTACCGTTCAGATAAAGTCAGTGCTCCAATCACCAGCGGGAGGCACAGGCTGTAAACTGACACAGTGAGCGTTTAGTTCAGAGTCGAGGAAGTCAGACACTCGTCGTTAAAGCTTAAGGTCTGTCCCATGTGTTATCCTCGTGTCACAGGTTAATTACTGTGCAAATGATAAGCGCCTGATCGTACTCAGTAATCGCTGCCAGCCTGCTACCACCTGTGAAAAAGTTAACTCCGCTCAGACGCTGAAATATGAAGGCCAGTTGCAAGTTTTGGATAGGTTTGGATTCGACATACAAATTATTAGTCGAACTGCGAGCTGTTTCCGGTGAGCCAGACTCCCCTCAGGCCTGAGCGTATTAAACATTTCAAGCTAGATGAACATGTCATTTGTCCCCTTACAGTGTGTCTTTCCCCATCCACGCTAGTTCCTTCACTCAACTTAATCACTAGGGTCTAGAGTTGCGCTACCCAGAGTCGCCGTCAAGGGACGCTCATGACTTGCACCTGCACGACGTCCTAGAACATTTCAAACCTGGTAAATCGAGCTCAATTCCAGCATGTGTGGCGGATACGGGGACGGTGACCAGCAGGGATTACTTGTAAATCATTGCTATTGGTATTTTTCCATTTTCCCAGAGAGTTTCTGATGAACTGACGCTTCAAATCCGAAAAATGTCTAAAGTGATAGGGAATTATCCGCCTCAAGATGATGTGGATTAGCTTAGTCCTTCTGTGCTCGCTCGACCACTGCCAGTGTACGTTCTGCTTTCTAATCACACTGCACAGCAGAACTAAAAGTGGGTCGAGGGTAGTGAGCCATAAGGATACCAGGTAAAAATCGTTCTTTCTCTCCAGGTGCTACAGACAATTATAAGGCTACCCAGTATCTCCGACAGCATCAAATGTATCCCATGTACTTGTACCCAAGATACCTAGCTCCGAAGAACCCAATGAAATAATACAATAGAAATGGTTGATGAAGGTCGAAAAATGACGAACGAAGTGTGTTGTGGAAAGTGAAGTGAAGTGAAGTGTGGTGTGGTGTGGTGTGGTGTCGCTTATGAAACCCCTCCCATAGTTTTAAGCACTACAGAGGATGCTGCACTGTCCAAGCTATCATGAAGCAGTGTTCTGGAGCTGCAATCAACAACTATGAGCCATCGTCCCGTGAATTAAATGACCAACATTACTAACGTCAGTGTCTGAATTGGGAGGCGCGCATAAATTTTGCTCGCGTTCATGCAATGACACAGTAGCAACCCCCAGTGCTTGATTGGTACTCCTCCTCAACTGGTATCGACGATGCAGGACTCTGCTCATCGGCCGAGAAGACAGTGGTGATGTTTGAGAATGAGTCCATTGCGGGTTGTGGAGTGGAGTAGACAACGAAGCTGTGACTTTATGAGTGGTAGAAGGTTCTGTCTGAGAGATGGCAGCTGGAGAATCAAAGTCGGTTGAGTTGATGAATGTCACGCTTTAGGAGCTCTTATATACCTTTCTACGGTGACTCGACCTATGATGAGAACTTTGCAAAATCCCGTATGTTCCGTCCTAATTGTCACCAAAATACCATTGTCAGGCTGAGGCGTGCCTAGTGATGTTCCGGCCTAGCCTGGCTCGAAAGCCGCGGCTTTGGTCTGGCTTCAGACGGCTTGGGCTTGCAAAAAATCCAGGCCGGGCCAAAGCCGCCAGTGACGGCTGGCTTTGGCCTGGCTCTGGCCTGAGCCACGGCCCGAGTAGGGGAAATGTAGTTAATTTACCTGTAGGTCATACACATACATACATACATACATACATGAAAAAATACCTGCGAGCACAAATATATGCAATACCGACCAGAGTAGTGATGTAAAAGTCCGGTGTCGCGTTCGGTTCAGCAATTTTGCTGGACGCTGAACCGAACCCATATTAGCGTTCGATACGTGACAACGAGCCGCTACGAGTAGGGATCTGGCACCCGTACCCTGTACCCGCACTGACAGTACAGGGTATGACGAGTTCTGACCCACAAATAAGTGGGAGCAAGTAAGCACAAGCGGCGCCAAGCGAAAACAGGCGAAAACGCGCGGGGGCAGGTGCAGACGGGCCATGCACATCACTAATCCCACACCCGGATTGTCTTGTCATAAGAACCAGAAACTAAGTGATTTCCATCCGGCGAGATGACGAAATGCTTGTGGAGTATCTTTTCCATGAGAGGCCAATTTGCAGCATGACCAGCGGCAATGCGGGGGGTGCAAGCGAACTTTGCAGCGAACTTTTGAGATATCTTCGACTGAATTGGAGCGAACGGCAGAGCGGATAAGTAAAAATGTGGAGTGGAATGTAAAATGGTGGTCGCAAAAATTCGAACGAAGCGCTGGGTGTCCCTGGCAGTGTCGTCGACGTGAGCATATTCGGCATGATCCTCCAACCATTCCGCTTCTTGTAAGAATCTATCGGTCCTAAGAACGAGCTCGAGCTATGTGCAGACAGTTTCAGACCAGTGCAAACCATGGTAGACAAGCAGAAATATGCGGCGGCCCGCGGCACACACAAACAAGATACGACAATTAGTGGCGGCAGGCGCAGACGAGCAGGGACAACAAGCACAGACAAGTGCGAACGAGTGGAAACGCACACGGAAAAGCACAGACAAGTGCCGGAAAACATCCATTAGTAGCAACCGTCCTGGTCCTTTGCAAGCGCATACATTAGATACCGGGAGAAACGAGACCGACAAAAATAAATTAGTAAATCAAAAGTCATGATATTGCAGGCACTTAGCAAGAAAACTCTTGATGTGACTCATTGTTTGGATCCAAAGCCTTTGCCAAACAACCGTCGCTGCAAACCCTACAGAGCCGCGGCTCAGGCCGCCGGCTTTGGCTTTCCAGAATTCCAAGCCGGGCCAAAGCCATGGTCAGGCCGGATTTTTACTGCATCCTCGGATTGTCTGTGTCGGGCGAGTACGTCACAGTTTCCACAAACGTGTGTTCGGTCTTGATTGTCAGAATAGTTTTGCCGCTCTCGACATCCCACACTCTTACCATCCCGCTGTCCCATATGTACACAAACCTTTAATTCATTATGTATGCCACGACTCTCGAATCTCCATATCGCAACTCGGTTCCCTTCGGATGCCAATATTTAATGCAACAGCATACAGCACGGACTTCGACTTCGATTACATCGAACTTTGTGTTTGACATCGTGGCGGTTTGCGGTGGTGCCACGTCAGCATGTCCTGCATCAATTTAACCTGCATAGAGGTGGTGGTTTGTGGTGGTGCCGTGTCAGCATGTCCCGCGTAGCCCGTGCTACTTTTATTGTTATAAATTTATATGCGCTAGTTGATTAACCACCTTATTCGAGGACCTCCCTGCCAGATCCCGTATCACGTCATACAACCAATGCGTTTCTCCTTTCTCGTCGTCGTTGCTGCTTTGACAGCGTCTATGTCGGTCAATGCCACACCGGCTATTCTCGGCGGGTGAGGTTGTTTTCTACCTCGCTGGCCTTGCGACAATGGTGATGAGTGCTGCAGTGGATACTGTCAAGCCATTGTGAGTATTCGGAGTAGTTTGTTTTGCATCCAACATTCAACACCTTTTGACCCTACAATGTAATAGGCGCGCGTGGGGTTTTGCTGGTAAGATGACCGTTCCAAACGGATCGTGAGCTTGCGAATGTTGACGCATGCAAACAAGGCCTTTGCACGTCACTGAAATTCACGAAGCATGATATGACAAACAATTTTGCATGGCTATGACATGCTAATATAATGATGAAATGTAATAGTCTATCAACCGTGTGTCATATTATCACCCTTTGATAATAGTCTACCTGCATGCAGAGCTTCATATGGTACAGTAATGATGTATCGATCGTATCACAAGCAGATGCTAGGATTTCTACATTCTTGGCCTGAATCATTTTAAGATATCATTTCCTGCAGAAATTACCTAGCCATATGGCATCATCAGATGCGCAATAGGTACTAACCTTCAAATAGCATGTTCTGACACTCATTGTCTTTGGCATGTACACCCATTTTCAGTGCAGAAGCAGTTTCCGCAGCAATTGTATGTAATTCCTAATTACTCACTACGCCTACGATCGCCATCTCATATCGAACCACGAGTGACGTGGACGTACGTTGAACATTGATTGACCACTCTCATGTCGTGGCACCACCACAAACCACCACTATTCGCGCGTTGGAATGGTGGTGGTTTGTTGGCGGTGCGGCGTCAATATGTGCCAGCATATCCTGCATCAATTTAACCTGCATCATGGTGGTGCGGTGTCAACATGTGTTAGCATGTCTCGTGTCAATTCACCTGGCCGCGGCCATTTATATGCGCTAGTCAACTACCTTGCTTCCCCTCAGAGTTATTCGAAGACCTCCCTGCCAGATCCTATATTCAAACCTCGCCCAACCAATGCGTTTCTCCTTTCTCCTCGTCGTTGCTGCTTTGACAGCATCTATGTCTGTTAATGCCGCACCAGCTGTTCTCGGCAGACTAGACTCAGGCTGTGGGCCTGTTAACTGGCCTTGCCAATCGCCTTATGATTGCTGCACTCTATACTGTGATACTGACGTGAGTACTCGGAATAATTTGCTTTGCATCCAATATTCAAACCCCTGACTCTTGACCCTATAGGAGGTCTATGTGAGTACTCGGAGTAGTTTGCTTTACATCTGATATTCAAACCCCTTTGACCCTA